ATACATACATACATACATACATACATACATACATACATACATACATAACATTCATGTTCAAAATCATTCATGTTCATAATCATTCATATTGTATCTGTAGAAAAGGATTAAGATGCTTGTATCATGTATCATCATTTCCTGCTGTGGGTCTTAGCACAGCAGGTGGTAAGGAAGTAAGGGAAAGTTGGGAAGGGCATGGCTTTCAGTAGTTACTTTCAGTCTTTGACAATTTTTATGGCATGAAATTATCTCCGAAATAAGTATAAAAGTAGCAATAAAATTGATGGATGTTTGTAGTTTCTGTGATGAGTGTTAGGGTTATTTGTTGCTGTCATTGACAGTGACAAATGTCTCAACTGTCAGCTCCCAAGGCTTTGATGTGAAAGTGAGAAGGTGTTACATTTTTTCAAATTCAGCACCTCTTGAATTACATTGTTGAACATGTTCTGTTCTTGGCAGGGTTCAAAATAAAGTCTTTGTTTCATAAAAATGGATCTGGATGCCCCAAAAATCAGCAACAGTAAACAAACAAAAAAATATCTTTTCGTTTGGATGAAGCGACATCAAGATTCAGAAAGGACTGCTTTACCTTTATGGTAGATGTAATACCTGGGATGTTTTAGATCCAATCCACTTTCAAACATTTTTATTTGAGCGGCTGGAACTTCATTCTTGTCCTTTTCTTTTGTAAACTGTATCTTATGTTCTCATTCTCTTATCATCGTTTGTCTTTTTTACCTGCAGATATCTGCATAGCAACTGCAATATCTCTTCTGATGATTCTTATATGTGGCATGGCAACGTACGGTGCTTACAAGGTAAAATGAATAAGATTCCGATTGTGACCTGGCCTTAGAGGAATACATTTCTTAATCTAATCTTAATCTTCTCCTGTGTAGCAACATGCTGCTTGGATCATTCCTTTCTTCTGCTACCAAGTCTTCGACTTTGCCCTTAACACACTGGTGGCCATTAGTGTGGTGGTTTATCCAAACACAGTGCAGGACTACCTCCAGCAGCTGGTGAGGACCACTTTCTTCCTGTCTATGATAAAAGAAAGCTCTATTTTTTCTTTTACAGACATGACAGAAGGCTGTGTAATGTGTAAAACATGAGCTCAGGTCGTAGTTTTATCACTAGAATTTCATCTTTAAATACTTGAAGAATTAAAGTCATGTTGTAGTCAGAAGCTTAAAGGGCGCTTTTGTTCTTTTCTGTTGGTCTTTCAAATAATTTCTTCTTGTTCTCTTATTTGTTTTCTCTCTTGACATTCATTTGTCTTCTCCCCCCCCCCCTTCCAGCCAGGGACATTCCCTTACAAAGAGGACATCATGTCCACCAACAACATGTGCCTAGTGTTTGCAGTCCTCCTCTTCATTGGCTGCATCCTCTCCTTCAAGGTAAGACGCACAAAGTTCTGGACCTGTTTATAGTCTCACAGTGGGCCCAGCTTTGGCGTCGCCACATTTATTTGACCAACATTTTACTTAAGCCTACTGAACATGAGCTCGCTGTGGCGCTTCCATTTCACAGATTTGTTTGTCATATAAAAATGTAATTAAATCAATTAGATCTCACTGTGCAAATTTCATAGCAGCATGAACAACATGGCATGCATAACAAAAGTATCAGTGTGGACATTCTGATTATCAATGGTCGTCCTGAGATGATCACACAGTCAGAAAGCAGCAGGTCGGCAACGTCAGGAAACCAACTCCTGTCAAACTAATTCTCCCTTAACGCATGGATGCTTCTCCAGGCGCAGATCTGCTCTGGGGCTCTTGGATGAGACGGGGCATGAAGTTGCAGTCATCTGTACAATCAAATCAACTTGTTTTTCCTCTAAGCTGAGATTAGAAATGTTCTCGGCAGATATCCAAATTCAGAGCTGGGGTTTTATGACAGGAGGCAGCCACTGGAAGACAGCCTGTAGTCTAAAGAGTAATAACGTCACTCCTTAGATACTGAGCTTTGTCTAGTGTGTTTTGCATTTGAGAATGTGAATATAAGAATGATGTTAACTGGGGAAAAATTATTAGACTTCTATATTTGGACTGCACATGCAGCATAAGGGCTGATCCTACTGACGATCGAATAATCCCCCCAAAAAGAACCAGACGTTGAAGCTGGAGGGCTCCCCCTTGTCCCGGGAGGGAGCGAACACCTGCTGAAGTTGCAGCTTACGCCAACATCCTTCACATGACTGCTCTTGGCATGGATAAACAGGCAGAGTGGAAAAGGGGAAGCAGACAGAGAAAAGAGACGAGATGAAGAGAAAAAAGAATTAAATATGAAGGGTTGGACTGAAGAGGCACAGAAATATGGTTGTGAAATATAAGATTTGCTGGAGAAAGTGATTTCATTTCCTGAAGCATATTGGTGTCATAATGCAGATTGATTGTAGTTAGAAATGCAAAAGAGGAAGTGACTGAATAGCTGCCCATTTTCAACACCCACTTCATCCAATTCAGAGTTGTGGAGCCTATACCAGCTGTCGCTTGGCAAGAGTTAGGGTACACCCCTAACATGTTCCCAGTCCAACTCTGGGGTAGCACAGAGATACATTATACAACGAAACAACAAACTCACTCCGAGGTTCAACTTATAGCCCGCTTTCAACCAAATAGACACAAACTGGACACGAGCTTCCAGGTTAATATTCAGACCAGGAAGTTTGTTGTGAGGCAGAGAGCTTATGTAAAATTCCGCTGTGCAGGCTGGAGCTTCAAAATGGTGAACATGAGAACAAATGTTCCTCGCAAAAACACATTCTAATGACAGAGAGCAGCAGCTCAGAGCTCGCTGTGACATTTGGAAGAGTGTGCAGAGTGATGCGCGCTGGATGAGCTGACCTTGTATTGCGCAGAGAAAGAGGTCAACTCAGCAGATGGCAAAGTGATTGGCTAGCATTCTGCTCAGCGTCCTGATTGGTTGCCTCCACTGCTGGCACAGGCACCGACTCAGCAGGCTACTCACACACACACACATACAATGGACCTCCTTTTCTTTTGCCAAGTCAGACAAACTGTCCCTTAGTACATGCACAGGCTTAATGAAGCAAGTGGTGCTAGATAAGTTGCTTCTGGTAAAACGGTGAATGTGGAATCAAAAGTCCAGGATGATTACAATGAATTCACTGATATCTTTATGTTTCTTTTTTCACCTGTTGGGGACAGGCCTACCTGATTGGCTGTGTGTGGAACTGCTACAGATATGTCAGCGGCAGGGGGACCACAGAAGTCTTGGTTTATGTCACCACAAACGACACCACGGTGAGTACTCCTAATGGCCAACCGCAGAGCCCGTACAAGTAATCATAACGTGCTCAGGTTTGCACTATGGGGACAATTATTTTCTCAGATAGCGGAGCCAGTATACATACTGTATTATTATACTTATACGATATTTGTGCAAGAAGACTTGGATCCTTTAGAAGAATTGTAATTAAAGAACCTTCTTCCCCCCAGTTTATTTAGACAATTTATCACATGCTTTTGCCCTGTGATGGAGTGGTGACCTGTCCATGGTGACCTGTCCAGGATGCACCCTGCCTCTCAGGCGACCCTAACCCTAACCCTAACCCTCCCAGCGACCCGCTGGGGATCAGTGGTACAAAAAATGGATGGATGGATCACCTAATATTGACCATTTTAAACAAAGAAAATTATTCACACACAGAACTTCATAAATGCTGAAATGAAACCACGCCGGGCCCTGGGAGGGCTGTAGTTCTGTTTTAAATGCGTCCTGCTGTCAGACTCTGTGTGGCTGCACGGTAGATGCTGCAGGTCGTCCCGAGGTGTGATTCACTAGATCATCCATCCTGTGCGGCTCCATCCGTGTTGACGCTAGGTGTTTCTGAGAGGCTTTGGCACCGTCACGATTTCCATGTCCTTCTCGTTTCTAATCCACCATCATGATGGATAAGACATTAATCTGCCTCACACCCTCTGTCGGCTCAGTCTGCAGCACTTTATCTGTCTGTCACTTTGTCCTTGTGGCCATGCCCCACAGCGGGGATGTTTTTCGCTTTATGAAACTGGACCCGACACCCAGGAACTAATCCAACCGGATCTGATGTCATACAGGGTGTCACGTGGACTTTCCAGCACTTTCTCCTCTGATGTGATGGAGGGAAGCAGCTTGTGTTTTTTAGGGAAAAAAACTATTTTTTTCTATCTGTGCATGTGCTGATTGTTTTAGGTATTGAAAGTCAGTCAGTGTGACGTCTAAAGTATAAAGCGTTAAAGAAGCTCATAGGAATATTCATTGTTTTCTTTCAATTTATCAAATGATTAAAGGTTGTGCTAAGAAAAAACTGATTTACACCAGCTGCATCAGACACTGAGCTATAAGCAAACTGAAACACAGCCTCTATTTATTATGCAAAGCCAATAGAGAAAGCAAAGAGTTTCTTTACATATATTTCTGATTGTTCTGTTTAACTTTGGGGCTCAGTGAATAATACTTGCTTTTGACCCAGAGCATAGGTAGCTATTTACACTGAACCCGGAGTAAAGGACTTCCACGCAAATAAAAAAAAAAACAGGGAAGCTTAACAGAGCCCTGCAATATTGTTAGTTAATTTACGTAGAAAGAGAATCTGGATCTTTCTAGACGTAAAAATCAATTAGCACTGTTTAAAAAACTAACTTAACCCGAAAAAGGAAAGAAAAAAAATCGTTTGACCTTTTGAACAGAAAACAATGGTGCACACAGCCAGAGTAACTGGGTCAAAGGGAAAGCGAGAGCACAAGCTGTTTGAATTTTAATTAGAGGAGAGGGAAAGAATGAATTCTAATCAAATTCAACGCATATCTGTGGCGCAGCATCAGGTTAAAGAGTTCTTGTATTGAAGCGAAAACCACTGAAACATGCTTTTATTACTACACATAAGGAACACCATGAAAATAGGGCTGCGTTGCTTTGTACCATTAAAATGGGAGCTACGTGCCTAAATGGCTCTCCACTGCCTCGGACATTAAGTGCCCAGCTGCTTTTGCTTATCTGTTGTGCTTTTCTAAAAACGCCATTAAAATGCGCAAGGGTCACCCCCCCCCTCCCTCCCCATCCTCCTCTCTCTACATATATTTCTCTGTCCTGGCTTCTTCTGGATATGTTATATAACTGTCTGCTTGTCTGCCTCATTTCAAATCCTGGCTGTGATGTGTTTGCAGGGCCTCCCTGACTGTTTCCCTATTTCCATCCCCCCCGAGCACATTCACTCAGTGAATTAGCGGCTGGTTTTATAACAGCAGTGAGATAGAAAGACCTCTGATGGACAGAGCACAAGCTGGTGTGCGTGTGGAGCTTGTTCCCCTCTGAAAAGGGATGGAATGGGAAACTGTGTCTCAGTTCACTGTCATTTTTGTCCTACGTGGTGCCCTGAAACACTCTGTAAGTTCTCTGCAACCCCAGAACGCAGCGCCCTGCATTTTGTAGAGGAAAAAGAAAAGTCTGAGCACTAATTAACAAGAAGGTTGGGACTGACTGAGTATGACAGCTAATTCAGGCACAGCTCAAGGTGAAACTGCAGCCCAACACAGTCTCATTAGCCCCGGGTGTCAGTTACATCATAATTGCTGAAATGTTGTGTAATGACAACACTATCTGAGGGGAGTCTTGAAATAAGCACAGGACACCGACTTAATGGTGTCGGTTGCAAATTAACCTCTATCTCATATCATCCAAGTGAGTGTCATCAGTGGGTGTAATAAGCTGTAATTGATGCAGAGCAACAAATGATCGGAACACGGTGCTTTAACCCGAAGAGACAGTGGGTTTTTGCTCCGGATCTCACTGGATTGCACTGCTGGTGTTAAAAAAGTGAAGGGCAACCACCTCTTACCACAGGAACAGAGTGGAACACTCCAGACTCTCTGAGTCAGCTCTGCGTCCCTCTGTATGGTAGATGTGGAGAGGACGGGGGGGATGGACTGAATTAAAACAATGTTTTAAATGGAAGCTTTATTTTAGTGAACGGAAGCAACTGAGAGGGTGGAGCACAGGTGGAGCACAGGTGGGAAGTGAGGACTGGAACTATGAGAGAGACAATAGAACAATAACCAACACAACTGAATCAAGACAAGACTGAAGACAAGCACTATTACAGACAAAACGAGCGTGTCAAAAAGCGTGCCGACGACTAGAATACAAAATTATAACTAACCAGTAATTGAACACAAACCGAGGTGAAACAGAGAAGCCAGAAAATCCAGGAGACCAAAGTCCAGAAAACCCAGAACCCATAACAAGAAAATATAGGAAAGGTTCTTTTAACTTAGATTACTGGTCATGAAGGTGAGCTGTCAGGAGATCTGATCCGAGCAAAAATGATCAGAGAAAATTAATCAATGAAATGTGCTTCAGGTTTTCAGTGTTTCCAGCCGGCCTGCTTTGGTGCCCGATGCAGGAGTTTGGTACTGAGTTTGGTCTCTTCCCGTTTCTCTTCCCCTCCAGGTTCTGCTGCCACAGTACGAGGAGGCTGTGGCCATCCCACCAAAAGAGCCTCCCCCCCAGTACATGGAGGCGTAGAGAGGGGGCTCTCCACACTCCTCCACCTCCAGCATCTCCCCGACCCCGGACCAACCCAGCCCCGGCTGCAGGGTGTCGGAAAAAACAAGGCAAAACAGCGTCTCCGACACTGCTTTCAGCTTGGACTCCTGCCAGCTTTAGATTAGATTAAGCTGACCCTGAGGCAGCATAGCCATTAACTCCCCCCCCACCCTCACCCCCAGCAATCCCTCGCTGTTGTGACGTATCGTCCCCCCTCTCCTCCGTCCTCCTCCGAGGACAACGTCACTGCCCCTGCGGGCAGGAACACCCAAACCCGTGCACGGCCCAAAAGTCCCAGCCCGACTTTGTGTGCACCGCTGTTTTTAATTAAAGCCCGCCTCCTCGGCCACCAACTGTTAACTCCCGATACTGTGAACTACCCTCGTGGTCTTTGTCTAAAAACTAACTACCTGTGAAGGGATAAAGAGCAAATGTGAAGGAAATCGAGAAATATCGGCTCTACGAAAGCACTTTTTTCCAGAAATCGACACGTTTCCTTCACTGAATGTAAAGGGGGCGGAGGGTTATTTTTGTATGACTTTTTGTATAAAGGTAAACACTGAGAAGGAACATGAGAAAGCAAAAGGCAGTCCTGTTGTGATCAGACATCCTGTGTGCTAGTGTCCATCCTGCCGGAAGACTAATAGGGGGAAAAGAGACGGACTGTCCAATAAAACCTGTCTTCCTTCTTCTTCTTCTTCGTCCCACTCCGTCAGCCCCCCCGAACCCGTCGACTGCCACTTAAGCCCCCCCTTATTCACCCGGCCGTTAAGGCCACGATATTCCAGTTTGCCTTCCTGTCTTGTTCAAGGTCCGAGACGTCATGCGATCAGGTAAACATTAGCTGTCCGCACACTCGCACACACAGAAAATAACCGAGGTGTGAGCTGGTGTCCGCTGCAGCAGCATCGACTGTGTCTTTATGGGTCTGTTTCATTTTTATTTTTAGGATGATCGCGGTGCATAATCAGGTCATTGTAGTCAGGCTGACTTAGCTGGACTGAGGGCATTTTCCTATGAAGACTGCATGACGTGCTGTTGGAGAGGCAGATCGTATGATGTCTGTGTTTTTCCTTTTTGCCTGTGTAGAAGCATACGGTGAGACACTCTTTGGTCTTTTTGTTTAGTTGTTTTTTGTCGTCGCACATGCTGCATAATCATAAAATGTTTTAGTGTGCAGGTTACCTTTTTGAGGCGTCAATTTAGCTTAAAACGGAATCAGTAGGAATCTAGTTCCACCGTGTGAGCGCCGGTCAGCAGGTCATCAGACGTAGACGTCCACCCACTTGGAAGCGGTTTTATTCCATCCATCCCCTCGTAGACCCCCCCCCCGGTGTCATCGTCAGTGTTTTAAAAAAATGTCTACTGCTTCCGCAAATCCAACAAAACAAAACAAAACGAAGATGCACTTTAAAGTCAGCATGAGCTCTCTGGAAACATGATGTGTGTATGTGTGTGTGTGTTTGGTTCTTGTTGACCGTCCCATGCTGTAGCTAAGAGGCTCTGACAGCCCCACCTGCTCCTGTCTAACCGCGCGGGCCAATCCATATCTGTGTGTGTGTGAAAGCTGCCGAGAGGACAGATCTCCACTCGGTTTGAAGGATTGCTAAGACCTGCCCGGCATCTGGACCGGTGTGTGTGGCTGAAGGCCTCGTGTATTCATGTGTCATGTCAAGACTGTTTTTTCCCCTCTCCTGTTGTTGGATCAGCATGAGCTCTTGTGTTCAATTCTGAGTAATAAAAAGCCAAATCAACACGCCTGTGCTGGGTTCATTTCTGGAGCAGTGGCTTCCTCCGGAAACAGTTCACATCACTGAGGTGGAGCATTTATTAGGAAAGATTGAAAATGAAAAGGATAACCCTTAATCTGGTTTATTCATTTCAAAGTGTAATTCTAAATTCTTTGTTGTGGTTTTTTTTAACATTTTGCTTAAACATTTTCCCTCAGTTTCAACTGATTCCAAGCAAAGAGAAGCGAATTTAGATTTTTTTTTTAGCACAATGATGATTACAGTAGAAAAAATAAGGCATTGTTACCGTTTTTTCTGCCTTGACAGGTCAGCAAACCTCCGAGGGCAGGTGTGCCTTGAGCCATCAGGAACACAAAAGACACGTTTCATTCCACTCTTCAAACGATAGCCCTGGCTGGTGGCCCACAGACGCTGGCTTTCTGCTCAAATTCCAGCATCCATTGTCTTGTGCTTAGGGAGGTGCTCTGGAAAACACCAGTCGGCAGAAAATAAACGCACGGTAGGCCAAATATGAGTACTGTGGGGCTGACTGGATGCTTTCGGTGCCCGGAAAACTAGGGGACGGCAGCAGAAGCGACATTTGGGGGTTTCTTAAAAAATCCAGACAAACGACAGAACATGAAGAGCTGCATACACCAGTCTGACATTTGTAAGCACCCACTCACTCGAAATTAAATGGGAGTCCAACGTTTGACTGTTGGATCTCTTGATGTGGATACAACCTCCCGCACCAAAATGGAGGCCAGCATTACCTTTGCTCTGACTGGAGGAGGCCAGATGGATGCACTCACCTACTTTCCTGGCAGTGGGACAGAACGGGGGGGGGGGGGGGGGGGGGGGGCTCCCTCCCCTCCCTGGGGGGGGGGGGGGAGGGGGGGGGGGGGGGGGGAAGTGGGTCACATTCTGCCTGCTCCTGACATCAGCCTTTGAATATGAGATTTTGGAAGAGTGTTTTTCAAACAATTCGTCTGACCTGGATACTTGGAAACGTAAATTAGATAGGACTAACATTAACTGAGCTGTAAAGCTTCCCAGAGAACAGTCTGGAACATTGAAGTTGAATAATAATGTCACAACATCCGTTCCACTCATACAGTGTGACATCATCTTTTTTATTTTTTATTCTCCAAGATAGAAACTCCAGATGATCATCATCGCTGGCAGCAGCTCAGCATCAAAGGTGCTCAACGGCTTTTTAGGTCTATTTATGGATCAGATTGTTCACACTTGTTAATTCCAATCTTATTACCGTGCCCCTTCAGATATTGTCCTCATTTCGGGGAAAGGCCTCCGCGGCACGTGAAACGGTTCAGCAGAGATGATTTCATTCCGTTAATTGGGAATCCAGATAAAGGTTTTAGGAGTAGAAAAACTGGGCCAAATGGCTCAGTGCTTGATGCTTAAATTACTCAAATTCCAGAGCTGGAGAGAAAGTTTGTTTTTGTTTTTTAGTTAATGGTGGATTTTTAAATGTCCCAATTATTGCGCAGCCACTATTATATTTTTCAAAAAACATAAAAAGTGCTTTTTATGTTTATAATAGGGCGTCTGCCAAATCACTTAAAAAATTCACCTCAATTCAAACCAATTAGAATCCACTTCATAGTAACATCAAACCCCCGTGAGTTCAAGTTTGTTAGATAAATAGTCCAAAAATAAAAAAGATGAATAAGACCTCTGCCTCTCTGACTTCAGATGTAATTGTGAGTTTCCTCTCCTCTCTGGTGGCACATTACCCCTCAGCCCCTCCAGCTGGTGGAGCAGCTGCAGCAGCAGATTGGCAGCTGCTGTGATTTCAATAGAAATGTCCAGTTGCATAAAAGGGGTTGGGGGAGCGGGGTGGGGGGATTGAGAGTGAATTAGACCTCCCATTTATCCCCTTCTATGCTCCCACCAGCATCACACAGAGCACACTTGTTCCTCTCTTCCTGAGACTAAAGGGGGGGGGGGCATTACAGTTTTTAAGATGAGTTTAAGGATCCTGAAAATTTAAAACACAGAGACATGCCGTTTCAGATTCCTGAATCCCAGTTCCGAGTTTTAGGAAAGGATTCTGGTTGAGCTAACCTGTTTTGAAATGTGTTGCTGTAAACAGGAAGGATCACAGAGTTCAGCAGCATCTGGATAGCCGTGCTGACCTCTGTGTCCAGTATGATGCCCCCACCCCCCCGCAAAGCCGCTAATGCCTCTGACAGAGCGTCCTTACTCGATTACAGCCAACAGGCTGCGTTTAGCGCTGCACACGGCCGTCCCGAGGTTTATGTAAGGGCCGGGAAAAAAACTAAACATTCTCAAAGATCAGAGGTTGCATAATTTTGAACCATCAGTGCTGTGGGATCCCCTGGGTTCACGCGGAAAGTGATAATCCAGTTGCACATGCTTTGTTACACAAGAAGGGCGTTTGAAATGTGGCCTTTGGAGACTTTTTCAGGAGCGTTTCCACAGCCCACTATGGGAAACAACTTTATACAAACGAGGAGTGTATTAAAATATGTCCTGGAAGCATCATTACAACAGAGCCACCTTTCTTTTTGGGATGCACGTGGTCTGTAAAAGCTGAAAGAGGGAGAAAAAAAAGACACAGATGTGCTTTGCTTTTGTGTTTTTGTTTTTTATTATACTTTATTTCCAAACAGGGGACAGCTCTACTGAGGCTGCTGCTGCTGGTCCGGCATGCTCCTGATGATGTCGGAATCGCCTGAGGGAGAGAGGAGCACAGGGGGGGGGGGGGGGTTAACAGCCGACTCTTCACTGTGCTAACACTCGCACACGTTTCAACCCCCCTGCTGTTGCTGGGTCAATCGGACACTTTTCAAAAGTTAATGACCTGACTTCTCTTCTAATTGATGCCTGACGTGGATGGTTCCATACTATGGCTAGGAGGAAAGTTAGGTTGTAAATAAGAAAACAAGGCTTTAAAACCAGTAATCGTCATTATTCGATTTCTACTGTTCCTACAAATACACTGAACAGACAGGAGGAGGACGGATGTCACCAGCGGAGCATCCAGAAACCGGCCAGATAAAACTGGCACTTCAAAGTGCTCTGGGCTGGATTTCCTCTAGCAAACCCCTTGTCCTGCACTGGACCATTTTAGACAGCAGGTCCGACAGGCGCAAAAATTTGCAGAGAAAACAAAAGCTGGAATGTTTCCCCTCAGGTGAAGCAGTGGGCCTGGTTTCTGCTCATGTAAAAGGGAACTTCTTTACAATGTCTCATCACTGGGTCACTTTTCATCATCATCAATCTCCCTGCTTACTATCGATCTGATAGGAAGTTGGTGCCTTATCATGAAAAATAAGCTTGATTTAATCCAAAATTAATTATCTACATGTATAGGACAACAGGGTAAATGGACCAAAAAGAGTTAACCATCACTGAACTCTGATCACTATCATCATGTCATAAGGATCCATGATCCCACATCCGTTCATTAAATATTCCATCCACGATCAATTCGAATTCTAAATTAGCTGGCAGGAAAAAGAAAGACAAACTCTACAGTTAACTGAGTGTACAGTAGGGGACGTGGGTACCCACCAGGGTCAATGATGGCCAGTGTGCACACCCTGTAGTACTTCCCGCAGGCTGTGCCCAGCTCTATGTTGTTGCCACTGTAGTGGTGGACACCAGTCTTGGCCAGCATGGCGTAGTACTCAATCTCAGATTTCCTGCACGAGGAGGAGATAAAAACAAATTAATTTAAAACCATTAAAAAACTAAGTTGAGAGCAGACGTTCACTGGAAATCCAGTGCTTAATAAAGAGGCGTTTAAGAAACGAGCCAATCCCTGGGCTGAAAGCCTCGCAGCCCGTCTAACTGACCACTCTGCAGCCACTGCAGACGGGCAGAGACGCCAGTCGGCTCAAAAGTGACATGTCTGATGGCTGATTCGTTTGGCTGGCAGATGGAGGAACTATTATGGTTTTAGCCTGCACCTTTCCGAGCAGTTCCACCAGAACAAACAAAAAGCACAGAGAAGAAGAAGAAACCCCTGCTAACCGGTTGCCTGGGAAACAACACAAATCTGTCACTCTGGCAGACTATCCTAAAAAGTCCATACAGGGACAGTTCCTCATTCCAATCAGGAACTCCTGGATTGTGAGCTGACCAATGAGGTAAAACCTATTTTCCCTTCATTATAATTAGCCTTAAAGCGCTATTTAGCCGAGTAGTGTGCCGGTCCAGTGTTTCCCAACCTCTGCCCTCCTGACACGGAAGACACCTGAACACCATCACCCAGCCTGCACACGTCTAACTGCATGCTGCTACAAACTTTAGAAGCTACATTACCCAAAATACTGCTTTGGTCAACATTTTGGACAGCTTTGCATGTTCACTACGATTTTACTGGAATCAAATGCTTCAAGGAGAGCTTAATCTAATCAAATATTTTTCTTTTAAATGTATCTAATTGGTGCCGTAGCAAAATGAAGCAACCAGAGGACAGTTCAGGAGAATGACATTAAGGTTTTGGATGTTAGGACGATGTCAAACACTTCTTAAATGGGAAAATTATTTAATTGTTAGGGGAGTTCCCCAACAATTGTTGTGTACACCTGTGATTTCAGGTGTGAATGTAATGCTTTTGTACCTGAGGGCTGGGCAGTTGTTGGCCAGGATAACCAGCTTAGCTTTTCCCTGACGAATCATCTTCTGAGACTGTTTGTAGCCCAAGACATATTTTCCACTCTTCATCACCAGCTGGAGACGAGAGTTGATGGACTCCATAGACTTTTTCTAAACGAAAAGAGAACCCACATCCTAAGGAATTTGCTGCCATCTCGCACACATCACACAAAACATGCATCGAAAACCAGGGGGAAAGGGCTAGGCAAGCTGGCTTCAATTGATGCTAAATGTTCAGGATAACTAATATTTTTTAGCGAGTTAGCATTAGCTCCGGTTTAACGTGAAGCTCCACTCCGGTGCTCTCGCAGCCGGATGGAAGACCTGCCACATTTTGCTTTTGTTTTTTAACTCAATGACACACAATTTAAAACACGTCTATATCCGACGAGTAATAGCAGGACATTTGGGTTTTACGCAAAAGTCGGAGCTCAGCTAGCAGGCCCTGACCCAAACACGTGAAGCAGCATCGTGTACGCTTTTACTAACCGTTTTCTTTGCGGCCACCATTTTTGCGAGTTAGTCCGGACCGGCCAACCTGCAAATTTATCAGGAGAAAGAGACTGACGTCAAGCTTCTAATTTTCGGACCAATTTATTGAAAGGATACTTCAAAATAACAATTTTACAATAAAAAAGTCGGAGCTCGTCTTACTTTAAGTGAACTCCAATATGGCCTCGGAGAGAAAGGAAGTCCCGTGATGCATTGCGCCTGGATCCCAGATTTAGGCTGCGCAATGCGCTACTGCGCAGTTTTTTTAACAGCACATCTGTGCAAGTAACATTTATGTTGGACTAATTGTAAGCATGAAAACAATACTTTATTTGAGTATTCGACCACTGGGGAATTGTGGAATGTCTCGATACAAAACAGGAACAGGAACACACAATAATAAATCAGAGGCTTTGACACCTAACCACACAAAATGTGTGAGTTGGTTAAAAAAAAAGGTATCCCTGTATTCCAGTTAAACACCTGTCCCTAAATCCCTCACAAAAATACCTAAATACGTTACATATACAGTATAGCTTGTACTGTTGGCGTTTATTCAATGTTTTTGTTTTTCGTTGACTTTCAGTCCAGATATAAATCAGCACGCCCCTCTTAATATAGTGACGCACAATTCTTTTATTATATAGATTTTATGTTTTATCACAATCTATATCCAAATGAAGTCGTTTTGATGAAGAAAACAAAGTTTTTTTATTGTTTTTTTTACTTTTACAGCTCACAGCTACTTTACTGACTGCTTCAAAGTTACTGGATCTGGTTATTTTTAGTGCACCAGTTTATTAAGTAAATAAATAAACCGTACACAAACCGGAGTCACTGGGGTCAATAATTGCCAGTGGGTATACTATGAATTAATCTTTAAGCAAGGTCCATTCTACTACAGTGGAGGAAAACCTATGTGAGAGCTCAGTACTGGAGTCCAGATATCCGGAAGAAGGAAGAGAAAACTATTTCTGAGTCAAAGCAGTTGCTTTTCAATGCAAAAAAAGCTAATCTGAAAAGACGGGGAAGCAATCAAGGTGTCAACGACCTACTGGACACAAACTTTGCACAATTATTTTATTTGATGAACGTCTTCCTCTTGTGATCTTTTACAAACCACTGTCAGGAGGGCCATTGTGGCTTTACAAGTGCAGAGAGCCACACATCAGGAGGGAAAAAAGGGAATCCTTCCTCACTGCCAGCTGAGGCCAGGCTGAGCTGATACTGAAGTTCTTCTTTGAGTAACCAAATCTGATGGGCCACAAAATATGATATCATTTTATTTTTTAATAAAACTCTGGATATAAACCTTATTCATCTATTGAATTTATTCAACACCTTTAGGGAGCTTTTTTTCATAAAGGTCAGGGGTTACAAAATTGTTATATAAGAAACCGGTTTGTTTGTTTGTTTGTTTGTTTCAGTGTCAGAAAAACAGCTATAATTCAGGGATGTCCAAAAACATTTCGGCCTACGCGTGGCGGTTCTCTCACCCCACCTCAAGAGGAGGCACACTGACTGAATAATGTATTTCTTTCTCAATGTCAGACTCGTGGAGAGAGCCTAAGTTACAGACAAATCTCTCTTCACCCGAGAATCCAACTCCCTTACACCAGAGCCAGCTCTTACGGGACGTGCCATCCACTCCCGACGCTGCGATCATTTAAGTACCAGCTTCTCTTTTATTCTCACTCCTCCTGTTGATGTTCCGCGTTTCTCAAACTTTGGAGACGCGACATATGTGCGTAACGTCATCGGCGCGCCTGCGGCCGGCGGCGCGCACCTCCTGGCTGTGAACTCCTTCATTCCTCTGTGCGCAAAGGGCAGGATGGGATGCTCCAACAGCTCGCAAACCTCGGCGGTAGACACCACTCGACCCAGTGCAAAACCCGAGGAGAGCAACGGAGCCAGCACCACAGGTGAGAAAAACACAAAACCTGACACTCATCCACGATGGAAACACTGTTGAGGGTGAATTTTAAGTCGAGCCACAGTCGACGGGATACTTTACTTTACTGTCAGGTGATACGACTCCAATGGAAGGCTTTATGTTTCCAGTTTATTATGAATATGAAATAGTCTGCGTTTTCATTATACACATCTAAAATGCATGTCTCCCCTCAATCAACTCTGTTACTTTAGTTGAGTTAAGGATATAACTTAACACTGATTAACCAGGTGGAAATGGGGCAATGTTAGGAGTCTCCTGGCGTCTCCATATAGAGTTGCATTGTCTATCTAATGCTGTAGTGAATATGATAAGAATGCCACAGCCACCATGCAAAATTCTGCCAGGGTATTTCTCCCGGTATCTGCTCTCTCTGCACAGTCCAAGATCTTAAACTTTAATGAGGGCCGTCCCCGGGCTGTGACAGGATGAGAAAGTTTATTGTCATTATTTACCAGTCGTTTCTGGCCCGGTCCTGCCCGAGAGGGACACCGAAGTAGATTTGGTGACAGTCTACGGTTACAATAGGAAATAGAGAACCCACTTTGGACACTTCTTTGCTGTAAAGAGGTCAAGGATGGCCTGCCTGTGGTGCGGGCTAGCCCTTGTTTCACGAGGAAAACGCCAATTAACAGTGTGTTCGGGGCAGGGAAAAGCTGTATTTATTCAAATCTCTGTAGTGTTTGAATTCAGGGAGTGTAGCTCAGGCTTTCTATGATGCAGCACAAGCAAAGAAAAGGTGAAAGATTCACTAAATTAGACCTCCCCTTTGCCCGTGTGGTTACCCACTGACATGCTTAATTTTCTGCAAAGCACAGAGCGGCTCCAGGAACTGAAAAACTGCCCTTTACCTCCGACCTATTTGTGGAGACAACACTAAGAAAGAGATATGCTTATACAGGCTTTTTTTTAAGTCTGGCTGATGATGAGGTAGCTTCAGACTTCTGTCTCGCAGTTTATCAGCTGAATGACACTACACAGCGTTCCTGTCTTCCCGTTATCATCGTCTCAGAGGTCAGATGGAAATATCTCGGGATGTTTTCGTAGTTTTCTTTACATCCGATTTATCTCATTGAACGCCTTGTATCTTTTCCACAAAATAAAGGAGATGCTGTTTGTCAGCCCAAGGGTCACTCACAACACGACAGGCTACTCAAAAACTAAGTAATCAAGCCTAGGTCTTAGGACTTCTGTAATCCATGCAAATAACTCAGATGCAAATTCTTTTTACCCCCCAAAAAACCTACAAGGAAGTGATACGGCATATCTCAGGATCCACGGCAACCTGCTCCTAGAGCCGTGAACTGTGCTTCCTGAGGCTCTCAGTGTTTATTTTTTAAAAGAAATTCTCATAAACATTAACCTATTATGGCTCTTGTTATGTGTCAGCAAAGGTGTGATTTAAGCATTTTACTTTTTCTATATAAGAGTCAAGATATTATCATGAATATTTTTAGGAGTAAGGAATCAAATATGTTTATACTTTCCAGGGATTTGCAGTCATTTATTTAGCTTTTTTGAATTTGAACAAAAGTTTGAGCGGTTTTTTTGCCAGGGGCTGAAGTTTGAGTAATTTTTGGAGTCCTTTCCATACTTTCCTCTTCCCATTAGTTTAAAGGCTCTAAAGATTATGTAAAATTACATTTTTTAAAGCTATATGTTTCCCAGAGAAACCCTAAATTCATTCAGTGTTCACTTATCCATTGTTGCAATTGGTGGAAAAAGTGAGTGTGCCCTGGATGAGACTAGTGATGCAGACCAGACGTAGATGGACTCCGGTTTTGGGTTGATGTTGACATGAATATCAAGCATGTTAAAGTAAGGAATGTGTACGGTAAGTTTCCCGACACCAGTCAGGACATGCGTGTGTTTGTGTATCATGCGGTCACCAGGTAACCACCACGGCTCAAAGTTCAGCCACTGGCCTGTGCAGCTGCAGTGATTTGAAACCCATGGGTGGAAAAATGTGACTTTGATAAATCGTGAAAAGTAGATCAAACCTAAGGAATAGTGAAATTGTGATCAGCATTAACACACCATACATTGAACTGAACCTTCACACTCATCTTGCCTCTGCTGCATTTCACTAATGTTTATATTGTAATTTTACTCAATTCTATGATCACGTCTTCAAAGAGTTAAGTTTGGTACTTTTCTTGACATTCTGCCTGCAAAGTATGGAAGCCATTAAGATGTGCCGTTAGGTGTTAAGTGTTGTTTTATCGGTGTGTTTCGGGGATGCACATGTTTCCATCAGGGGCAGCCAGTGAGAATGGGAAGGTAGCCGAGGACAGCGAAACCATTCCGGACCAGACGCCGGCCGGAGACAGCGATGCTAAGCCCGAGGAGGCCCCGGTCAGCACCTCTCCCAGCCCACCGCCGGGGGAGGAGGGTGAGGCTTCGGCCGCTAGCCCGCAGCCACCGGCCGAACCACCGGCCGAGGCACCGGCCGAGACACCGGCCGCAGAGGGCTCCTCAGAGGCACCAGCTGAGGTTCCGGAGCAAGGTGGGTCGGTGTCAGAAACCACAGATGGATTTTGCCATTTTTAGCCCCTTTAAAGCCTGATCCAAGAAAAATAGGAAGTATATTGGATTTTTTTTGTCTGAAGTCTTTCTTTGGCCCCTCAACAACATATGAAGAAAAAAAAAAAGAAATAATTTTGATCAAATTAGCGTGCAATAAGTCAAAAATATATTTTCGTGTAGTCTTCTACTGGCTGTTATCAGGTATATCTGAACGTGTACAACAGGGGTTTGAGCAAAGCTTTTACCATTGAATGATGCAAAAAGTCTCAGATCCAAAAGACTTCAGAAACCGTATGAATCAGATATGATACATTTGGCATTATAGGGTTAAGACATTTAAAAAACAACTAATTTTTACCTTGTCCTATTCAGCATCACAGCAGCAGAAATTAAATCTGAGAATCGCTTTATAACAGACACATTTGCTTTGTCAAACAAGGCTTTATAGGTGAAAAGCCACCCCTCGCCGATTATCCAATATTGCTTTTGTTTATAAAACAATTCTGTTACAAAATGTACATTATCAAATGATACCAAACTTGAAAGGTGAGGGAGAGCATAGAAACAAAAACCACCCAAAAATGAGGAAGGTCCCTTTAGACAGAGTAAGAGAGAGATAGAAAATAAAAAAAGGACAACAAACCCACACAACCAGCAGCTATATCTGTAGAAAGCAGAACACAGCCTGTGGCCTCTACGTGGCCGCTACTATTTTGGGAAACTCATAGAGCCTCATTCTAAGACCGGAGTTCGGATCATCAAATAAATTCATCACATACATTTTCATTAACCGTGAGCATCAGAAAAAACACAATCAGCCTAATGGGCCACGTTTTAATTTCCTTTGCCGTCGGTATCTGAACAGACCCTATCTCCCTCCTCAAAATGAGAAAGCTATCCACCGAACTTGTGCGCTACATTTTCAACGCAAATGACACTCTGTATGCAAAGCTCCTCGGACAGAGGGACCAGTGACAGACTCGTGACAAATGTCAGACTGACACCGCAAAGTTTATAAAGCAGATAAGGACGTGGGGAGCTTCAGTGTTAACAGGAGCCACCGGAGCTCTCGAGATCAGTGGAAAAAAGGCCTCAACAATTAGTCTCAGGATTGGCTCCCCTCAAAGGTGAAAAGACAATTAAAAGACAGGTATTTTCCACTGACCAGCAGTAACCTAAGCCACTTTATATGTACAAATACCAGTTTTCCCCTGGACCGTCCACTGTCCCTGTGCAGTGGCAGTATCCAGGTGGTATCCAACAACACATTTGTCCCCAGTCTGTAACAAACGTGGCTCCAGGAATGTGCCCCCGAGCCACACCTCAAATGATTTAGATTGTGTTTAGCAACCGGCCTCCTTCACAGCATTGTGTTCAGTTGGATGGCGCACAACTCGCTCAGCCGAACAATGGCTTACTTAACTCATTTCTTTATCAAATAGTTATTTCAATGTGGTGTTGGATTTCACTCAGAGAGAAAAGGCTGTTCTTCGAGGTTCAGACAAATAAGTGCAGTGGTGTATATTGAGGCATTGTAATGTTCAGAAATAGTGTTTTTCTTTTTTGTTTTTATTTTAGATTAAGCTTAAGCTTTGCAAAATATTGCTATATGGTTTCCCTTGAGTAACACTACTGTCACTACTGGCCCAGGATCAACTCTTTAAGGGAGTCAGATTTTTTTTGTGGCTGAAATAAGCTATATAAGCTTATTAAAAGTTAGAAATTATCCAAGCGTACTGACTTTGAAGACAATTTAGGGTATCGAATATCTCCCCGTTTTAAGATTATTAGATATATTAACAAATCCTGTGCTTCCCAGGGAGCAGTGAACACAGCACAGTGTTGCGTTTGCTTCTATGTTCCCGTCAGTGCTGCACAATGCAAATGACCAGCAAAACAAATGTCCATGAGATCGGCTCTTCATTTTCCTCTTAGTCAAATCCACTGTCTGTTACAGACCACTGGAGAGAGGTGGTGACCGGAGCACTGTTGTTTAACGAACCAGCTCGTTAGATGTAATCCAAAATGTGAAAGCGAGCGTTTTATTGGACGTTTAAAGATGGAAAACAAGCAGGGTGCTCTCTCCAGCTGCAAGAGTGGTGCTTCAGAAGGGATTTCCCTTGCTGGAGGATTATTTATATATCATTTTCTGATCTAAGGTTGAGTGGAATATGGATAAAAGTCAGTCCTGCTTGTATATGCTTAGCAATGTTCTATAAATAATCAGAATAAGACCTTATTCTAAAAGTCATACTTCCATATCCAGCATATCTCTATTTTAAACCAGAGAGATCATATCTGAAGTAGTGAGTGATCATATGAAGTTACATAAGGTGTGATAAGCTTACAAGTGTAGATGTTTACATACTCCATCCATTATAGGTACCGCTTACTCCCTAATGAGGTCGGGGGGGGGGGACTGAAGCTTATCCCAGTGGTCAATGGGCGAGAGGCGGGGGACGCCCTGGACAGTCCTCCAGTCCATCGCAGATGTTTAAATACTAACTGTGATATTCCACAGCTGCATTTGGTGACACACGGCACTGCTTTACCCATAAGTCTGTCCACTCTGGATATGACAGTTCATTAGGATGCATGCAGAGTTCACAATGGCACAAGGAGCATGACTTGGCTCAGTGAACCATGAAAGAAATCATTTGTACACAGCTTAATTAAACACAATAATGATAAATCATCTATCCTGCCGAAGACAGCAGAAAGAAATCACTTTCGAGACAATGTTTTACCTGACACAATTTCCCAATTGAAGTTGTCTATCGTCAGCCAAACAGTGTGAGGAATATTCATTTAAATTTAAAGAATTTAAACCTGGGATTGTGTCTCTGCTTTTTTAGGCTTTCCCCTTATTCTTGCTTGCTTGAAGACACATTGGGTCTGTTATAAGACACAGAAATTCATTTTACATACTGTTTGCTGATTTGTAATTTTTTATATTTGGGATTTTGGTTTATCGGTCCCTCAGTGTGTGAGTGCTCTGCAAAGCCAGTTTAAAACACACACAATGGATTCCGGAAATGTTGTGAAAGTTGAAATTATGTTTTCCTATTCCATTGAGCATATGTGTATTGTTGAGACCTTTCTGCTGACCTTTGTGCTGCAAACTTTACATCGAACCGCTGAAATAGATTGTATTATATATAGGCAGATGCAAAACAAATCAACGCAATCCTGCATTACACAATTACACAATTCTGGATGCTCCTGCCCTTTGTTTTACCTGGTGGGGGGGTGCCCCTATGCAAAAAAAAAAAAAAAAGTTAATCAATGTCTTGAACATGTCTGGCGTTTGTGTGTGAAAACAGCCCAAAGGCATTTCACACAACCATTCTTCAAAAAATGAAACGTCAGAAGACGATAACGAAACCCACGAACCACGAAAAAAAAAAGGTTTTCACTGCCAAGGTCTGCACGGATAACGGTGGGCACAATACGTCCCTCCTCAGAACCGGTTCCTCCCAGATCACCATAACAACGCTCCCCTGCAGCCTTCAGACTCCGAGATAGGGACACAAGGCCACTCCACTGCCCCAGTCACTGGTCACAGAAGGCTTTTTACAACTCTCCGTCTCAATTATAGCTGTGTCTTTTGCAGTCCTATCTCATATTTTAAATTAGTTTTCACATGCTGTTGCTTTTGGGGCTAGCTGTTTGCGAACAGAGCAGAAAACTTATGAGTTTATCCGCTTTTTAGAAAGTCATGCAGTGTTTTATGAGAGCGCCGAGTCTCTTCTGTTCTCTGGGGATTCATGTTTCACTACCTGTAAGTCTTTCTTTGAAGCACTCCTCCCCGTCTCTTCCCTTGGACGTGACCCCCCTTTTGGCGTGGGACTTCAGTTCAAGTTTGACCACAGCCCTGCTCTGCATGCAGCGTGTGTAGAAGTGTGTGTGTGTGTGTGTGTGTGTTATCGCGTGGTTGTCACCGTGGTGTCATTAAGGTGAAATCTGAGTGCGCAGAGAAACAAGAGCGTATAGCCCTCGTTCCACAGGAGACGCAGGGTCGAGTGTCAAACAAAACAGAGAACATCTCTGCCTTCACCGGGCGGTCAGAGGTGGATTTTTGGGTTCACTCAAATCTATTATCACAAGTCTTTGAAGCACCAAGACCTGAAATGAAACAACCGGGAAAGCCGATTGTCCACGTTTTTCAAAATTTCCAGCATGGAAGGATCTTCGGAGCAGGTTTTTTGGACAAATATGGGTCTGTTTAACTAAAAATAGACAGGAAGATAAACGACTTCCAATGCATCCCTTTCAAAAAAGAGGCAGGTTAGGAAGTAAAATGGCAGCCGCAGAGAGGAAAGGAGGTGTAGGCTGATTAGAATTTGGGCCTGTTGCTTCAATTTCAATTTCAGTTTGATTTATATGGTGCCAAATCACAGCAACAGTTATCTCTAGGCGACACAGAAAAGGAAAAGAGGCAGAAACCTCGATCAGAGCCATGGCTCAGGGTGGGCGGCCATCTGCCCTGACCGGTTGGGGGTGAGAGACAGAATTAGAGAAAGAGAGAGAGAGAAGAGGGAGGGAGGCAGCCTACACACTAACATAGAGGTAGAGACAAATAAAGGTAATGTTGCTATAGATTGAATGGAAAATGGTACAGATATGGAGTAATGTTATGTTGTTGTGCTAAGTTTAATTCTTTCTTTCTGTGCCACAGCCACTGATTCAGAGCCCAAAGCAGAGGAGGCACCAGGTGAGCATGGCTGCATTTTCTCTTTAAATCGCCTACAAAACTATTTATGTGCCCCCCCCCCCGAACACTTTCCCTCTGTGTTTTTTTCAGCTCCCTCCGAATGAACTGTGACACGCCGGACTGCACAGAGGAGTTTGCTGGAAGAGTCGCGTCCCGTCTGTATGGATGATTGAAAGCATGTCCCAATGCGAGTGTGTATGTGTGTGTGTGTGAAAGATGTCGCCTCGTTGCCAAGTTGCTGACCACTTTCCGTCAGGGTCCTCAGTCACCACTGTGCCTTTTTTCTCTCTTGTCTGCAGCCTCCACTGTGGAGTTTTACAGCTCTTAGGTGGCGTGTTCATTTTTAAAGGAGCTAATCATTTGAAAGTAGTTGAAATTAACCGTAGAAATGTCTATTTATTGTACTTGAATCCAACTCGAACCTCCTGTAAGCACCCCCTTTCTGCTTTTTCTACAAAAGCACAATTCAAAATAATGCAAAAGCCAAAGTTTGTTTAAATTATGCAAATATATCCTTTCGGGTAGCTGCCGCTGACTTCATCCAGCTACTCCGCTGAAGGTGTAATGAGTTTCTGATGTGTCATGATTTCTCTGTGGAAAGAAAAACCTGTAATCTGTCACAAGCTTGAACTGTCAGAAAAAAAAAGAAAAAAAATTAAAGGCAGCCTAAAAAACTACAGCGGTATTTCAGGGTGATTCATCACTTTATTGGTTCATTTGTTTTACGTATATGGAACCAGAATTAGCTCCTGTGAGACGCATCCTCCTGTTATGGGGGGGTGGAATGTTAAAAAACCCCACCACAAACCATCGAGTGCCTCTGGGCTTCAAGTCTCAATGTCCTATATGTTGGTAAAAAATACAACGATGCCTTCACAGTAAATCTAAAAAGGACACTTGGTGGTTGGACTACAGCTTGTTTGGGATGTGGTCGGCCAGTCAGGAGTCGGACAGAGGGCCGAGAACAGCCACCGCCTCGATTTCCACCAGACCGCCCTGAGGAGAGACCGACAGGACAGTCACAACACGGAAACTCAAGTGGATGAGAAACAAATTACGGGGGGAAATGACCCCAAATTTCTTCATCAGAGAAAATTAAGCTGAGGTACAGTAAGGTATCATCCCCGGTTAGCGCTCCGATTCATTAACACCCAATAACTGACATCAATTAGTAATCCAATCCAACTGCCACACGTTGGGTTCTGCACTTACTCTGGGAAGAGCAGCCACTTGGTAGGCGGCCCGGGCGGGAAAGTTACTGCTGAAAACTGAGAGGAAAACAGTTCCATTAGGAGAGGGATATGAAAAGGTAAAAGGCATCCGTGACTATCTAGAAAGCAACAAAACTCCCGCCGGGCCCTTGCAGGCGCTTTGCATCTGGGCTAAGAGGCGTTCTGGGGCAGGAGGACACAAATACCCCTTATATTACAGTCAGTTCACACTCTAATAATTCATTCTGAAAGATTACAATCAAAGGCATTGTTGTTTTAAGTGTAAGGTAATAAAAACAAATCTATTTGGCAGGGACAGAACACTAGATTAAAGCTGGAGGTTCATGTATCATTAATAAAAGACGTTTCGATATTGTAGACAGACCCAGAAATGGCATCTTCAAACTCTTTGATCATTTTTTTTTTCAAAATAAGATTGACCCCCAGTCCTCTCAGGGTGAGGGAAGGTTCCCCGCCCCTGGCTGGGCTGCGTCTGGACTCGGGGCCTGGTGCAGCAGCGCCTGCTGGGAGCGGTCGGGTTGCATCGGTGTGCTGCACCGGGGGTGTCTGCTTACAACCCACCGGGCAGCAGCTACCGTTACACCCGAGGGCTGGGATGGAGGAGGCAGAGCCCGGAGTCTTACAGCAGAAAAAAGGAGCGGGCGGCTAACCCCACGTCAGCCATTTTCTGACTGAAACGCGCCACGGGGTCACGCGTTTTAGCTCCAAAAGTCACGTTTGCTTTTCAGTTAAAAGATAGATAAAGTCCTCTCATCTTTCCAAATTAGACACAGGAAGCCCAGAGAGTCTTGCTCAAAAATACTTTGAGGCTTCTTTCTTTTGTCCCTCTCAAAGGAAACATTAAGGACATAAAGCAAAGTGAAAATAAATGAATGAGTGCATAAGAAAAGAAAAAAATGAGACTCGGATAAAAGTATCTAAGAATGTGGAGAGTGACAAAAGAAGCTTCCATTTAAAAAGATGCTGGCCGGATATGACGTCAGATAAGAAACGTTTGGCTGAGTACTGCCCCCGTGTGGCCATCTCCGTGTAGTACAACATATCTTCATGAGATGGGACATGACACCAGTACTTTCTTTAGGAACCTTTCTAACAGACTAAAATAACAGGAAACATGGAAGCCGCAGAAACAATAAGCGCTGTGTGACTTGTTTCAATTTTAAGGAAATGAGCCTTAATGCGTCTCTGATAATCTCCCTATGCAGAGGAAACACTACCATCCTTTATGAAAGATAAAGGATACCCGTAATTCTATCCCAGAAATCCTTGCAGCAGCAACTTTTCAGCATCCAGCTTTAAAACAGGAAGCTGCAATCTGTCCATTTTCAACTATTTTTATCTATTACAAATTATTCAAATAATGTTTTCAAATGAAGATATTAGAGGGAAGAAAAAGCTAAATGTTATGAAAACTCATTTGCAATGGGACAATAGCAACACATTACAGCCTTTATTCTTATTTTCCCATAAGGCTGTTCATTCTTAATGCCTAATGTACCTTTTTTAGTTCTACGTAAAGCTTATGTGATTTTCATGTCACTACATTTAGCTTTTATTAGTATTTTCTGCAGTGTGTCAACATTTGGAACCAATGTTTGCATTTGAGACCATTCTCTAGAGACTTCTGTGCAAACCATTGAGGTTTGTGCTAGTTTATTAGATTAAAAAAATCCTAGAACCCAGAAAGTGTCCTACTCTTACTTCTGTTCAGAGAGCATTTAAAACAGTATGGATTTGAATCCAATATAACTTAAATGATCCCACGTGGAAAATTTGTGTGGGACTACTTTCAAGCTGTGCACTAATACAGTATGGTGCCCCAATGATCATGTACAGTCACTGAATTTTGTAACGCATGTGCAAAATGAACTGTGGTGTCAATATTCAGGAGCAGATTTGAACCCAGTCTCACAACGTGGTGAAATTTTGTGAGTTAAGAAGCAAAGTGAGGCTTACATGTCTTGTAGACCTCGTTGACATTGTTGAAGTCGTTAATGTCTTTAAGCAGCACCGTGGTCTTCACCACTGGGGAAATAAACGGTTTGGATGTTTGAGTTAAAGCCGTTAAAAACAGGGGAGAGTAATCTGAAAGTAAAGCTGTAAATCTCACCGTTGCTGTAGTTACAGCCGGCAGCCTTAAGGATTTCCCCCATATTGACAAGAGCCTGCAAAAGAAGGAGTTTGAGTTTGTTCCTCAGATGTTTAGTTTTGATGGCCAAAGCGTTAAATCTTAATGCTTGGCAGAAATAAAGGAATTATTCAAATCCCTGATAACAATGTCGTTAAAGTCTTAAAGGTAAATGGTTCAACAGTAAAATCATCTCAAGGGTTTTCCCTTTTGTCACATAAATGTTTCAGTAACTTCAGTGTTCGTATCTGGTTGCTTCCTCTGTGTGTGCTACCTGTTTGGCCTGAGCCTGAACTCCTCCTTCCACCAGCTGACCAGAGGCCACGTCCATCCCCAGCTGACCGGATATGTACATGGTTCTGTCCACCACCACCGCCTGGCTGAGGGTTACACAGGCGGGGACACGCAAACACAGCTCTTAGACAGCCCTTAGTTCTAAGCTAATGCAAATCACAGATGCAGTCGTTCACACCCAAACTGAAAACCTGGAAGGGAACCCATTATTTTTATGTTTGCTTAATTTGACTGTACAAGGCTGGTATGTTAGCAGTTTCCTTCTTCCATAATTTAGAGGAATAAACTCTCCTGGAATGTTTATTCCCCAAATTCATAAAAACAAGCATTTTTTTCTTGAATGCTGGTTTATTCATATTGAAAAAACTTTCTGACTGCCACATTTCTTAAATTGAAACGACGGACCAGCGTCTTTGACCGCACCGAGTTCTTCCGCTTCCGGTCTGACGTAACTCCACCCACTGAGAGCTGATTGGTCGGAGCAGGAACAACCCCCCTCACTTTATGCAGCTTAATTTAACCACAAAACCCTTTTATGAAGTTGTCTCATTTTGAATTTTGAATATATAACGGACATTAAGAAAAACCTAAAAAAAATTTTTAATTTAAGTTCTACCCCCCCCCCTCCCCAGACACTCTCCTATATATAAACGTTAGGGGAGTCCGACCAGCACGTGCATCCTTACCTGTATATTCCCTGCCTTACGGGGGCTTTGGGTGTATAAATGACTTGACGAACAGATGCCATTTGAAAGCTCTTGACTTTACCCGAGATATTTCTGTCCTGCAGAGATTCCGACACTGCCAGAAGTTAAACTTTGGCCCCTTTTTATTGGATTTAGTGGAGTAGGTAGAAAGACCCGCCCCTGCTCAAACACCAGGTCCCTGTCTACTCATGTCATTTTCTCCTACTGTAAACGATTTATTCGGAAGTTAAACACGTGGCTTCGTGCTTCCCCTCTCACCAGAGGTGTCTTACCTGTATGGACCGATGGCGGCAGGGGCTGACGTGGTGTTTATAACCTTTCTGAGGAGAGCAGACATTGTTTCTTTATTTTCTGTCCACACTGCAGAGTAGTCGGGACGAAGGAAGTGTGTGAGACAAGCTGGAGCAATAAAACAAACAGTGGGAGCTGTAAAATTAACCGTAATGTACAAACTAAAGCCGCAATTTGGAAGTTTAGTGTTAAAAGACAGCCAAGGAAAGAAATGGGGGCGCACGAATTAGGAGCATTACGGTACAACAGGTGCCAAGAGTTTCTCAAACTGGCTTTGAGGGTCAAGTCTCTTTCAGTCAAAGATAAGGCAACAAATAAGCTTTGATTATTTATAAGTAACTTTATCTCTTACGTGGTTAAAAACGTTATAAATTCAGACAAACAAACACAATAAATTAAGTGGTTTAAACATGAATGCTTACATTCCACTCACTATAAAGTAAGACCAAGTAAATGATGACAAAATCATAGATATTACAAAGTGTGATTTCAGAGCTGTACATTTTCATGGTCAAGTCTCAGCAATGCCATTTTCCTAACCATATATATTTTTAAAAATGTACAGTAATAAGGTCAAATCAAAAGTTTTCCTGATGCGGTTAATACAACAGCGCTCCACTACAAAGCACACATGCATAGTCTAAAGAAGACAGATCAACACATCTGTTTGGGCGAGAAGCAAAAGCATCAAGAGCCACAACGGCAACCAGATTCCTCCTGATTTAGAACAAAAAGAAAAAGGTATTAAGCGTTAAATAAATAAAGATGGGACGCCTCTAGGTGGTCAATGCAGTGCAAACTAAATATATAAATAAGTCACTGAGATCCCGGTCATGATATCTGCCAGAGCTCTGCTTCACGGGGAGCATAAAACAGTAAAAGGACATTAGACACACACATGATGCAATTCATAAGCTGCTTAAGTACAGACTGAAATGTGGATTCTGGCTCGCATCAAGTCCGTTCGGCCTCACTCTGCATCCAGTAACAGAGAGACAGGGTAACAGCTCCGGTTACCAACGCAGGCAACCCACATTTATACGTAACAGTAACACAATTTCATTCTGAGGGTCATCATTTGCATAAAGAGAAATCAACAAGAGCAGATGGTGAAATAAAGCCAGAACAGGCAAGAGCTCAGAGAACCAATCAGAGGCGGCCGTTTGTAGAATTTTGATGCTTGAGAGGTGAAAAAACGAAATAAGTCAGTTTTTGTGTCGGAGATTCAGTGATTAAAGCAAAAATACAGCGAGAAACAGAAACTCAACTACAAAGACGGATTTGCCTGCTCTTTCCATTTACTGACCATCATGTGTGCGGGCTCTGTCCTTTTGGCTCTCCGGTGCGGACACTGATCTTCAGTTTCACAAAAAAAAAAAAAAAAAAAAAGTCTAATAGTTATGTGATAACATCTTCTATCCCAGCAGCAGATGCTGTTCAACTTCTGTCCTTCATTAAAGGCTTTGCACTCAGTTCTTCTTCCTAAAGCGCACACATAAGCTGCAGGAAAAAAACAAAAAAGACCAGATGTTTTGCTCTTTTTGAATGTCTGACTTGAGTGATTTGTCGCTCTTGGATTTGTCTGATGTGTTAATGTGGAACTCTCGGGGCAGAAAGAAAAACGATTTAAACTTCGGCGAGGCGTGTGGGAATTTCTATTATTTGGAAGCAGAAATCCACCACGGTGAATATTGTGGCTTCCCCTCAAAAGCTGGAATCTGAGGACTGGTGAGTGAAGGGGCCCAAAGATACACAGCATCTGTGAGGGCAGATGTGGAATGGCTGGGAAACATCTGGTTGGGCGTCGGGTTAAATAAATGATGATGAAGACAGACGACGCACACTTTAAAGTCTCGCACCCACAAAGGAAAACATGCATTTTTCCGGTCTTCGTGATTTCAGTTCGCTATGACAAACATCTGCTGCGTTTGGAAGAAACGGACTCAGACATCCGGCAGCTCGGCTCTAGTTTCGACATTGCTTCTTTTTAAAACTAAATTTCAAAACATTTTTAAGGCATTCTCAACTCCCTCATCAGCACAATTTCTGATCGTCTTTGGTCATGGATGAGCCTCCACAGCTTTTGATGTGGGTATTTCCAAACTAGGCTCTATTCTGTATTTACATGTAAGCAAAAAAAAAAAAGTCTGTGGAATCAAAAAAGGATTGTGTTGTGCCTCTGGTCGATTTCCTTAAGTGTTGATGCCGATACTCAGGGGGGGGGGGGGGGGGGGGGGGGCTTCGGCGTGACTGACATGTCACCATGGCAAACGGGAAATTTCGGTGACTGTCGCACATGTAAAGGCCTCAAGCTGCTTCTCCTTTTGGCCACAACTGAGAGCAGCGATAGTGGAAAAACAAAAAAACAGCTTTACAGGAATGGCAGAGGAAAACGAGACATGTAAGATACACAACGGTTGATTTGAAGGAGTCAAAGGGATGTCACCCGGCAAGACAGCTTTAAACTTCATCTAAGGGACAGTTAGTCGGGTAAGTAGAGCGGAGCCGGCGGGATCGCCGCAGGTCCGATTTCCCTCCTCTGAGTGGACAACAGTTCGGTGCTGGCTTTTGGAAACTTAGACCGGAGGAGGAGGCACTCAGAAGTTCTGCTGCCGTCTCTTCTTGGCGTCCATTGCGTCCAGGATGGGCTGCCGTTTGGCAGTGTAGCGCTGCCTGAGCTCCTCAATCTCCCGCTCCATCATGGGGTCCAAGGCACTCAGGCGCAGCTGCAGCTCCTCAAAGTCCAGATTCTTCAACTGGGTGGAAACAAATGTAGACGGATGTGAGTCAACCCCAGCGTGCCTCTGCTTAGCTATTTTTAAGTTCTGCTCGGCATCACATTTTCACGATGAACAACACTCGTTTGGCTACTCACAAAGTCAAAGTCTCCGTCCTGAGGGACCTTCCAGTTATCGGGGAAGACGTTTTTAGACTGGATGTGGTAGCCGGGCTGCTCCTGTGGCTGGTTGTGGTTGTAGTTTTCCTGCTGCTGGGCGGCCTTGTTGGAATCCTGCTTGTCAAAGTAATCCATGAATGACGGGCGTATGGGCTGCTGGGGGGTGGCGTGTCCTGTGGAAGAGAGAGGGAGGCTCTAGTTTTACGCGTGCTGGACAAAACGATCACAAAGCATGGCACCTTACGAGGCATTATGCCCCCATTCTGCATCAATAAGCTTCGTATGTTCCCAGAATCTGATCGCTCCCATAGGAAGCTCATTTTTCCATCCATCCTGTCCATACAGGTGGTTGCACTGTCTACAGTTCTAAATGTAAGGAGAGCACCTTCAAACCATGGTCATTTTAGGATGAGCTTAAAGAGTGAATACGGCGATAATTGTACATCAAAGTTGTTTTTTTAAATAAATAAAAACAGGGGGTTTTGGTGAAATATTGGAGTTATTTGGTTCCATCGGTTGTTCAAATCCTCCCTCTACTATTTGCACCTATTCATGTAAACCAATAACCTGCTTGCTCACTTCTCATTGATCCCTGGTCTTCCTCCTCTTCCTCATCGTCGCTGTTGATCACCATGGTGCCCAGGTCCGACTCCAGCATGGTGCTGCCGTGCTCGATCATGGTCTGGGCCCCGTCGCTCATGGTGCCGCTGGCCCTCATGGTCCCGGCCCCCTCCGAGCCAGACTTGACCATGGTGTGGGAGTCCACCTCGGTCTCCTCCTCCTATGCGGCAGAAAGCAGACGTGGAAACTGAGCATCCCGCGGGTCTGCAGGGTTACTATGCCGGGACTTCCACATTTCAGGGCACGTACAGAGTTGTCCTCCTCCTCCTCCATCTCTCTCTGCTGCTCCTGCTGCCTCTTCGCCTTCATCTCCATGGCCTCGGTGATCAGGTCTCTCAGGATTGTAACTGGTTTGGCCTGGCTGATGAATGGATGCTGCATATTTGCGAGGAGAAACAAAGTGACCATCAGACGATGGGAGTGGGATTTATTTTGCTCACATTTTAGTGAGGGCTTTTGAGCACGGGACAATTTTTTGTTTTTCTACCTGTAGCAGCTGCGTGGCCGTTGCTCTTTGCTCGGGGTTCTTGACCAAACACTTTTTAACAAAGTCTGTGAATTCATCTGACCAAAGCTCCGGCTTCCTGAATGTAGGAGGAGGGTTGGTGGGGATCATAAAGATAGCCTGTGGGAATGAAAAGGGTTTGCAGTGGACAAAGAGGATTAGTGGAAAAAACGTCCACATTAGAAGCCTGTGTGCCATTAAAAAAAAAAAAAGTAAAATGACTTACTCTCATTGGGTGGATGTCAGCATATGGAGGTTTGCCCTCTGCCATCTCTATGGAGGTGATGCCCAGGGACCAAATGTCTGCAACACAATTGTAGCCGATCTCCTGGATCACTTCCGGAGCCATCCAGAAGGGAGTACCGATCACTGTGTTTCTCTTTGCCATGGTGTCCTTCAAGCAGGAATACACACCCGTTAGCACACTCATTCAAAATTAAAACGAGCACAAGATTCAGGATTTTGGTTTTCGATTAAGCAAATGTTATTTTAACACAAAAATAAATTTAATATCATCAACTATCAAGAACTGAGTGTCTTACTGTCAGCTGGCCGGCAACCCCAAAGTCTGCCAGTTTGGCGTGTCCCTCAGTGTTGAGAAGAATGTTCCCAGCCTTAATGTCGCGGTGGATCTTCCTCATGAAGTGAAGGTATTCAAGACCCTTCAATGTTGACTTTAGGATGGTGGCAATCTCATCCTCTGTCAGCTGAGATGCAGGACAAAAGTTTTTTTTATATGAGAAACTGTAACACGAGTCTCAAGGCTCTCAAAGAGATGGGTATTTGGATGCTTTCTTTTCTTTTTTCTTTTACTTTTGTTTTGAATTTCATGACAGTATATGTATGGATAATCTAATCTTTTTTATGCATATCCTTCATCTGCATTTTTTCAGTTTCAGTGCACCTTAATGTAAATATTCCTGTGCTTTAACTCCACTCCTTATTCTGGTTGGAGTAGCTGTGACCAAAACTATTTCCCCCCGGGGATTAGTAAAGTATTTCTTATTCTGTTGACTAGCTTCTTCTTCTTCTTTTGTGTATTGGAGAAGAGCACTTACATCTGTTTGTGTCTAGCCGAGACTAACAACATGGACTACCCACAGCACCTGGCGCACACGCACACACACACAACTGTAACTCTTTGTTAACACACCGTCTTGTTGCGCAGTCTGATGATGTCAGAAACGGAGCCCGCGCCGCAGTACTCCATCACAATCCACAAGTCCGTGTTCTTGAAGTAGCTGCCATAGTATTTCACTACATAGGGACTGTGAGTACAAGGAGACCAGTAAATATTAGCTAGAGAACAGCTTCATTTGAAAAATAAGAACAGAAGGGAGAGGTTGTCCCACAGATGAGGACAGAGCAGAGAATTGATGAGGCATTTCCTCAGTAAACGAACAAATGGCTCTTAGAACAACGGTGATGTTGTGATGTCTTCCCACCTGTCACACTGCTGCATGATGGAGATCTCCTTTATGATTTCCTGCAGATCAGACTCCACGGGAACCTGCTTGATGGCCACTACCTGCCCCGACTCCTTATGAATGGCTTTAAAGACGCTGCCATAAGAGCTGATCACACAAGAAAGTTTAACTCACATTATCATTAGAGTGGATTTTATGACAGACAGTAGTAACAAACTGACAACAGTCAGTTGAGAAAATGGAAGTTAGTTAAACTGAGCGGGAAAAAAACAAAAAAACAAACAAACTTACCCTTCACCGAGTTTCTCCAGAACATCAAACACTTCCTCAGGCTGTTTGGTCAAACTGTCTTCGCTCAGCTTTTTCAGCTTACTGTAAAAAAAAAAGAAAAACATTTTGGCATCGTTATTTTACATAGTTTTGGAAAAACTGATGGATAATAAAAAATTCAAATGTGACCAGCCCGAGCGGAGGTGAGTTTAAGAGAGGGTCGCAGCTGCAAAGAGACAAATGTACTCTACATAAAGTAAAAAATAAAGAATAATTGTAAGATAAAAACTGATGTGCTTCCAAGAAATAAAATTTCACAAATAAATGGCAAGTTGAGGGAAACGAATCTAGACACTGAGATTTGGCAATTATGTGGAGATGGTTTAGTCATTTGGTCACAACAGGAATATTATACAGGTTAAAATGAGGTAAACTTGAACTTTGGGGAAACCTAAAGAGAAGTACAGACCCTAAATGAATTCTGAGATTTGGAGACAGTAAAACAAGTGGTATTCACTCTCATCTATGATAAGCTGTAAATGAGATGTGTTTTGTACTTTGACAACAGATAGTTGGATTAGTAACATCTTAAATATGTCATCAATGTCCCTCCCTCGTTAAAAGTCACAAAAACTCCTTACATACATTTTTTTTAAATGACAGTGAACATTAGTTCTTCGTCAAGTCTGACTAAGAGAGTAGATTAAACGGTGAAACCAGCTAATTTTTGATATGCAGTTGTCTTTAATAGCATATTGTTAAAATAACTGAAACAAAACGTTGACAAAACTCTTCAGTAAAACAGACCGGAAGTTTACAATAAATGCTAAGATTGAGTTTCAAATCAAAACCTCTCTAAGTGGGAAGTTTCGTGTAAGACCAGCTGAGCTAACTAAATTAGCTTAGCGTAAGCTAACTGGGCGACAGCTGAGCTACCGCCTACGTTAGCTTTTTTTTTTTAACTAGCCAAGTCCAGAGCTTCTAGAGCAGTCAATTATGGACTGACCTTTTTGGCGCAGACGGTTCCATGATGTACAACCTAAAAGAAAAAAATACGCAGACTCAAAAAAGAGCTATGGCAGTTCTATCACCAAAAAGTCAAGATGAGAACATTGTCGGCAGAGTCGTTGTAAAAAAAAATAGTGGGAGCTATCCGAGGGGGTGTTCGTCAGATGATGAACACTTTTCTGCTATTACACCACAGCGCCCTCCATTGAGACGGAGTATGAAACGGAGTCACGTTAATTAAGTCCGTATAAACCTAAAAACCACGAATCATTTGTAACAATTGAATAAAACATACAGAGGAGTAGACATATTTCTGAAATATTTTTAATGAAGGGGAAAAAACTTAGCCAAAGTTTCTACTGGCCAATCACAAACCGCCTTGTTTTGAGGTGGATGGCCGTTGTACGCATGTGCAGACAGGAAGACGTGTGTAATATGAAAATAGCCGTAAACAGCTAACGGCGTCTCGTAGTTAAACGGTAAGATCTTTCAGAGATATATTTTCAGTATGTTCATTTTAATTACACGTACTTAAACTGCTTCTCCCATATTGAGTTAACACCGTTGCTGTTCGCTGCATGTTCCAATTGTGTTGCTTTTGTCTCATCCTGGTGTCAGGACCATGCTGTTCCTGTTAGCGTGTTCAAATGATACAGATTATATGGAATGATGTTTTCATTTTCTCTTTGTTTTGCAGGATAACATGGATGCACAAAAAGATGTACAACCGCCTAAGCAGCAGCCTATGATCTACATTTGTGGAGGTATATTAATGTTTTACTAACTTTTTTGGTTAGGGGGCTATTTGAAATATTATTTTTAATTTCTTTGTGTGAATTATATGTAATAAGAATGGTTGGAATTCAGTAAAATAGACTTCATTTCAGACTGTTGTTTTGGTGCAGAGTCGTGTATGCTCAGGGGTATACAGTTATGCTATGTATTACTAAAATTTTGAATAAGTACAAATGACTACGAGAGTTTCAACATTTCAAAATGGTACTACACTCTTATTTAGTATTGTATCAGGTTTCAGTAAAACTGTCTCCTAAAACTTTGTTATAATACCCTTGAATGACCAAAAGTTTGGTCCAGTTTAATGCAGTTTGAAAACAAAAATGAACATTTTTGTGTTTGTTGTGTGGTGTGTGCTGCCTTACTTGGAACAAACCGAATAAAGTGACACAAACTTGTGTTATTTGTTTTCGCAGAGTGTCACACTGAAAATGAAATAAAGGCCCGTGATCCTATCAGATGCAGAGAGTGTGGATACAGGATCATGTACAAGAAGCGAACAAAGAGATGTATCCTTTTACTCTGTTTATGTTGACTTTTATCTGATCTTTAATGAAAGTAGTGAGAACCACAAAGCCTGTACCTTCTCCTTGACTCTCTGCCTACAGTGGTTGTATTTGATGCCAGATGAAGACGAGGAGAGTTGCAGATTTGACTTTTGTTGTTATTCACATTTTTGTAGTGCTTGACCATGTAAATAAACAGACTTTGAGGCCTGGCTTCAGAGTTTTTACTTTGTCATTTTCATGCCATCAGAAATGTGTCCTTATTTTGTTTCTTGCAGTTGCTTCAAAGTTTTGATTAATCAAAAGCACAAGTTTAACTGTAGCTGGCTTTAGTGACATTTATTTAAGCCCTAAAACCCAGAAGGCTGCAAAAACATTAATTTATAAGTCATAGGGTAATATCCTACTTGAAAACATTTACAAGCTTAAACATATTACCGGTCCAGTACTTCTTGCTCCAAAATCATTGCATTTTTTAAAATTGCTTTAGTACTCGAGTGATGAGATGCTGTTTTCTCTGCTCACACATTTACTTGCAAATGTCAGCACCATAATCCACATAATTTCCATGTCTACACACAAAGACCAACACACACTTGCAAAATGCTGGAACTCGTGTCCTGTTGGTGCAATCAACCAGTCGCATGAAATACCGAAGGCCGTCACAGCAAGCGTAGTTTGAATTATAAATAAGTGTTGACATAGTGTTTTTGTTCATTTAACACAGTTTTTATTGGTGGACTTTGCACAGATGTTGTTTTTACACAATAACAACTCCTGAAAAGGGTCTGGTTTGATCTTTGGTCACTTCCTTAAAAAAAAAAAAAAGTAAAGATGATAGATAGTTTCTGAAACACCAGCTCTACATATAATGCAGCCATCATTACCTGGATATCTGTAGTAATGACAGTTAAATTTGTTTTTCTTAACAGTAATAATAAAACAGTAATATACATAATAGGGTGTATACGAAATTAATAGAAATATGTTTAAGAATTAAATGTCGACCATTTTTAAGCCCAAACTGAGGATTTCCGGTACTTCGGCTCCACTGCAGTGGCAGCGCCGCATCGCGTGGCTCCTCCCCTTCCGTGACGTCACCTCTGACGTCTCATGCTTGAGGCGTGTCCAATCAGAAATCCCCCCCCCCAGACGCCCCTCCCCCCTCCCAGCCGGTTCACAGATGTAGTCGCAGCTCGGAGCGGAAGGTAGAGGCCCGGCCGGGACGGAAGAAGAGTTCGAGCGCACTGCGGAGGGAGCGCAGCTATGGGGAACGCACAGGAGAAGCCTCCCGGAGGAGGAGGAGGCGGCGGAGGAGGAGGAGGAGCAGCGGCCAGGGGGGAGCAGGCGAGGTCCGGGGGAGGAGGAGGCGTCGCGGGAAAACCCCAGAACCACAAGAGGGGGATGGCCAACGGCTCTCCGGCGGAACGGAGCTCCGCGGTGGACACCAGCTGCGCGGTGGACACCAGCTACCTGGACGCTCCGGCGGGGGCTCTGCCCCCTCACCTGGGCCGGCTCAAGAACGAGGGCAACCACCTCTTCAAGCACGGCCAGTTTGGAGACGCCGTGGAGAAATACTCCAAGGCTATCGACGGATGTTTGGAGGCAGGTGAGGATGATGTGAACTCTTTTGTTCGGTCTGATATCATCCAAAATATCCACACATATATGTGGTCAAACCAGATTGTGTTTCCAACTGAAATATGGTTAAAACGATGTTGTTATTTGTGAGGCTCTGTGCCAAAACAGAGTGTGTTTGCAACAATACTTTTTCATTAATACTGAATGAAGAGTGTTAAAATTGAGGGGCATGGACTTGTAAAATCTTACATATATTCATTTATTCATGTTTATTTACTCTTGAACTTTACCTGAAATCCAGAAACTGTTGACATATTAGAATGCATTAGCATTCTAGAAAAGTGAGACTTATTTGTTTCAAAGAATGTTGAGAGGTAAGTTTTAAGTTGCGCTTTGGGGAATGGTTGCTCCATTTTAGGTCTCCCTGGAAGAAAGGCCTGTTGTTCAGGCTGTGCTGTTGGGTCAGGCCAGGGCAGCATCGCTGGACAGAGACAGGATTTATCTTATAGCCTCTCTGTGTTAGCCTTTTTATGGTCATCAGATATGAGTTGACTCAAAGAGTATATAATAATGTATGCACTATGCCACTGCCTCCATTGCTTATTATCAAGACAAACGGTGGTCGCACACCGGTTCTTGTCATTTTGCCCCCCAGACAGAAAGATCTTGGCCACTTTAGTTTAAAACAGAGTCCTGAGAGGTAAGTAGTGCATTCAGAGGAATGTTGGCACTGGTCGGCACCAGTGGCTGTAGAAAGAGGTCATTTTGGATAAATCCAGTGACGCTGCGCCTTTAAGAGAACTCGGCCAACTCTTACTCTTCGTAATGGGCGAGAGCTTTTTTTTCCCCTGCAACACTTTAGAGGGGAATAAACTGACTACGCTTACTATCATGAAAGAGTGGATGGGTAATGATGTGAAAGCCCCTGACGATGCTGTATTACGGCGTGCAGGACGGCTGCTCAGCTGCTGGTTATCAGGCTGCAGGGGAGACGCACCAGACAAACTAGGAAGTGACTCAGCCAAAGGGGGAGTCAACACATCAGTCTATCTGTCTGTCATTTACCCCTTCGGCATTTCTGTACAGTTTAAATTGCACTGCTCGGCTTGTGTATAGGTTTCTTCTACATAAGGTTGGGCTACAGGCCAAAGTCGAGCATCATTGGTGTTATTACCGGTGCAGAAACAAAAAAATAGCTGTCAGCGTACAATGCTTTGTTGATGTGCTTTATCCTGGTCTGTCAAATGAGTGCTTCCTGGTTGTCCCTTTTTGCAGGCATCGACAGCCCAGAGGACCTGTGCATTCTGTACTCCAACAGAGCTGCCTGTCTCCTTAAAGACGGAAACAGCTCCGACTGCATAGAGGACTGCACCAAGTACGTTCAAATTGCAGTAGCCGTGTGTGTTTTGGTAATCTGTTTTTAAGGACCAAACGCGATCAGAGACGCTTTTCGTGACAGTCAGTGCAACCTGGGAGCAAATGCTGGGGCAATATATCACACTTTCCCTTAAGGTTGATAAACCAAATCGATGAAGTTCTTTTTAAGTGGGCAATTCCTTTGTAACCTTTAATAACTGCTGCTAGATATCTCACCAGTCACTTCCATGAGCAGTATACCATGGTGTGATTCTACGTTATTTTCCTAACATGCGTTCTTAAACAGTCTAAGGGTCGGTCCATCACATTTTCATTGTTTTTAGAATGGCTTGAGCTCCTCTGTGACTTGACTGTCTTGATCGTGTATAACGGGATCGGTCCAAGCCCGTGTTTTTCTATTTGTGCTCATCTCTCACACCCTTTAGTCCTTAAAAAACAAATGACTTTTCCAGGACGGTTATTGTGTCTGGTGAAAAGACTGCTTACTTTGCAACTGCTTACTGTTGCGCAGTTTTAGATCCCAAGATCGTCTTAACTTTTTTGTTTCGGGTTACCGGCTCAGAAAGAAATCAGCAATCAAACACTGTTAACGCTGTTCATGAATGATAAGCGACCCGGTTCCGCTTGTGACACAGAGAGTAGGGGTGAGGCTGATCATTTCTCTTGCCTTCTCTCTGATCCTCTTAGAGCTTTGGAGCTGCAGCCGTACTCCTTGAAGCCCCTGCTGCGCAGAGCAATGGCTTATGAGTCACTGGAGCGCTACCGGAAGGCCTACGTGGATTATAAGACAGTGCTGCAGATGGACACCGGAGTGCAAGCGGCTCACGACAGCGTCCACAGGTCAGCCCCACCGCAAAGGAAACCACATTTGAGACGTTTGAGGGATAGAGTGAACCGCCCGTATCTGGTCATAGCAGCAAGAATAGCTGTAACTCTTCACAGAGTAATAGTAAGTTTACTCTGTGAGGAGAGAGACCGGAAAATGTAAAAAAAACAACTGAAACAGTCGCCGGATTCTACAAGAACCACTTTTAATGAGATTACCATTCCAGTCTGAATTACAGTGCCTTATATAAACACCTCAGACCAGACAGATCCAATTCAGCTCAGCGGAGTGGAATAAATGCGTCCTTTCTGCTCACGCTTAAACCACATGGGGGTTAAGGTTCGACAACAGATTTCAGAGATACAATGTTTTAGCAGAACTGAAATGGTCTGTGACTGCCCTTTTTAATTTTATTTTGAAGAGGTCATATAAGAGCCAAAGATGGTCTTTTTACAGTGTTTCCCGATAACTAAATTTATGGGGAGGAATACTCTGTATTTCATCCATAGGCTCCAGAACGGGGCACAGAGTGAACTGAGCTACACTGAAACTTGTCACTAATTTATAGAGAGCAGGTGAATATCAATTAGCTTTCTAATTGGGAAAAAACATTATATATATATTTTTTCTTTATATGAGGGTTCCCAGTTCAGATCCCACCTGTTTTCTACCAGTGCAGAGTTTGCATGCTTTTGCCATATACTGTATGTTGGTGTTCTCTCTCTGGGAACTCTGATTTCCACCCGCTATTCAAAATTGATGTATGTCTGGTTTTTGGACAACTGTCTTATTAGCATTCCTGGTTTTACTACAGTAAGTCGGTATGTCAACTGTGAGGAACACCTGATAATAATAATTCAGTTTTCATTGATCTTACATTCAGGGTAAAACCTTACTCTTTTGCTCACCCACACATTCCTCAAGGGTCTACTTCTCAGCAAAGTGGAAGTCAGACCCCCCGTGAGGGTTAACCTATCCTCGCCGCTAACGTGACGCGCGTTGCTGTCGCGTCCGTCTTGTCTTCCCGGCCAGGATCACGAAGATGCTGATCGAGCAGGACGGACCCGAGTGGAGGGAGAAGCTGCCCGAGATCCCCGTCGTCCCCCTGTCCGTCCAGCAGCAGCACAGGGAGAAGCCCACCAGCATCGAGCAGGCGCAGGTGCGAGCCACCCGGGCCGTGCAGGAGGAAGGTGAGTGATGTCACTTCCTGTCACCCTGAGGGGGACAGGTGTGAGGTTGTAAGGGTGTAGGAAGTTTTAGTTTTCCTTCTGAGACGAAAGTCACATCCGGTTGAGAATGCAGGGTAAAGACACAAATAAAATAGTCTGTTTTGGGTTTTTCTTTTTCGGCCAAATGTTGAGAACTGAGCTGTGATGAGTTCCATGCAGCGACGTGAAAAGAAGCTATCCGATGAAGACATTAGGATCAGTGTGTCAATGCTGAGCGGGGCTGGAAGCTGACTGTGTGTGTCTGTGTGTGTGTGTGTGTGTGTGTGTGTGTGGGCGGACTATCAATAATGCAGAGGGAAGCTGATCTACACGCACTACAGCGCTGCTGTAATGGAACAATCCAGGCCAGGTTTCCCCTCGGTTCAGACTCCTCACAAAAGCCCAAATGACCTCACACAGAGCCAGAGTGCACATATAGGATATCTAAATAGTGGAAGTTTGGTTTCATGGCCACAAAAACGTTCATTTCTAGTGATGAAACTGCTTGTTTTTCATTGATCCCATATAAAGTTCTTGGACTGATAACGCCCCTAACACGTAGTTAATGAGAACAGCATGCTCAACGGCACATCTGAAAATAGCTGCTGCTGTTGCCGGGGAAACGGATACAAAGTGATGGAACTTTGCAGTCTGCACCACAACAGATTGCAGGGTAAATCTTCTTCCATTTCAGTTTGATTAATACATTTCTGTATATTTTGTTAAACAATGCTGGGACGTAGTTTGTATCCCGAGGTAAAAAGAAAAAACTCGTTTTCCTCATGCGGACAACTATTAACAACAGACTACACAAAAACCTGTGGAAAGCCTGCTTCCAATGGAAATGATTAACACAATGCGACTGCTATAGCAGTGATATTGCCTTCTTCATGTTTCTTAACAAAAATAACCATTCTTTGGAAGTGATTTATTTTCCATGTTACACTATCTAATAAATTGTCTGTAACAGTTAACAGCAACTAGAGATAATCATTTACAAGTAACTATCACGGTCTTTGTGGAAATAATCTCTTGTTTTTATAAACTTTACACAAATGAAATTATAGGCTGGATTGAATATTGTCTGTGTCCACAGAATTGCGCGTCTTTACAACCAAGAAACCAATCACGTGTTCTGATAGAAACTTCATAGAAACCCTCACCACATTGTAACCTGTTATAACCCAAAGTCAATTACAGTATGTGTAAATGTAGACCAACAATGTCACATAAAACGTATTTGTTATGGCCAATACACCTGGCCTGACGTTAATTTCTGCTGAACACGGAAAATCTGCAAAACAAGTTAAATTAATGCATGTAGATCAGCAGAAAGATACAGATTGATTGATTGTTTGATTACATATATTGCATTGTCAATCAATCAATGCCATATTTCTTAACCTTGCTCATATTTTCAAAATGCAGAGATTTTATTATATTCTTATATAAACAGATATAGCATTCTCCTCTAAGACTCCCTGGGTCGTACATCTTATTGACAGAGATCTCATCAGAAGAGAGAAACTTTCAGGAAAAGTGTGTTCAAAATGTCATCTGACTTCACTTTTGCCACAGTAATGTGTTTTGGGAATCACTTTAAACTACTAAAACGGTCTTTTGTCCACCACCCTATATTTAAAAAAAAGAAATGTCTGGATCACATCAAAATATCAAAATCTCATTCAGATTTCAAATGTTGGATACTAGTGCTTTGTGAATCTACTGAGCATGAACCGGGGGTGAGTCATGTTTGGATCAATCCTTTTGGTTTAATTCAATAAATACAAAGATTGTGTGAGTGTCAGTGAAGCTGCAGATGTGTTTAAGTGCCTCGGGGTGAGGGTTTTTTTTAAAAGTCACACGTGTCAGCATTCTCAGCACAGCAGGCAGCAAACCAAAGAGAAGTTGACTCATCTCTTCTTGGTCTGATGCACTTATTGATAAGCCCTGAAACAGTCCACTGAACTGATGCCGGAGGCTTAAAATACTGCTCCTGATGAGGGTGAACGACTCTGGGGAGAAGCAGTCCTTCTTCAGATGAGGCTCTCTCTCTTAGGCGTATTGATGGGTTTTTGTTTAAATGACCTTTTTTTTTGTCGACAGCCAGAAGAAAAGAAGCCCGCTTCAATTTACTGAAACAGGAAGGCAACAATCTGGTGAAGAAAGGCCTCTACCAGGAGGCTCTGGAGAAATACAGTGAATGTCTCGCCATAAAAAACGACGAATGTGTTCTTTACACGAACAGGTACGACGGAAACCACCCCAAAAAAAACACACGCCGAGAGTTTCATTCAGCTCCCCGATCGGTTTTTTTTTTTTTTTTATCATTTAACTTTTTATTAGTTTTTTCCATTTTTGCTTACATATACAATATACATGAACACTTTACAACCAGCATAACATAACAAAACTTTGGCTTGGGAGCTGTTCCTCTATTTGACCTTAGTTCCATCTAGTTTGTCTAGTTCTTTATTTTTTGTCGCTGACTTTTGTCTTGAATATTGTCCATTTCTTCCACTTCTCTTCCATTTGTGTTTGCTGTAGTCTCAAACGATGTGTCAGTTTTTCCATAATGTAGATTTCTTCTATTATTCCAGTCCATTGTTCTTGACAAGGGGGATCTGCCTTTCCCCATTTCCTCGTAATAGCTTTCTTGCTAGCTATTAACAGTATCTTAATCAGATACCTGTCTTTTGCCCTTACTTTGATATTATTAAAATTGCAAAGATATAGTACCACACTACTCATAGGGATATCATATCCCAGAACCTTCTCCACTGTTACATGAACATTTTTCCAGAATTGGACAATGATAGGACAGTTCCAGAATATGTGAGAATGATCAGCATTCATTGATCCACAGTTCCTCCAACACCCCATGTTTGTGCCCTTGTACCTATTCTGGACTTTAGGCGTGATGAAAAATCGTATTAGATTTTTCCATGAGAATTCCCTCCATATCCGTGAATTAGTGGACGTCTGATGTGTTTCCCACATATCCAACCAGTCTTCATCTGTAATTGTCGTGTTAAGCTCTGACTCCCACTTTTCTTTTATATATTTAGTTGAATGTTTGTTCATCATCAATTTTTGATATAGAGTAGAGATTATTTTAATTTTTGTTCCACTGGATGAATTTATCACAATTTTTATCACCCCATTCACTTCCACAGAGGGATCCCACCTGATTTCTTTCTTATAATAGTCTCTCAATTGCAGGTACCTGTAAAATTCATGTTTATCTAGATTATACTTCTCCTTCATTTTTTGAAAACTCTCCAGCACCCCATCTTTCAGAAGGGTATACCATCCCGTGACCCCCTTATTTATCCATTGTTTGAACCCTTTATCATACATTGCTGGTTTGAAATCACTGTCATATGCTATCCACCGGAGCACCTTCATTTCTTTCTTTATCTTGTGTTTTTTTAATGTTTTGAACCACAGTTCCAGTGTAAACACTGTAATTGGGTCCATGTATTTCTTGATTTTCTCATATCTATCTTCATCTCCAATAACACTTTGAATTGGGTATCCCCCAAATTCTTTCTCCATATCTTTCCACTTAGCTATGTATTCTGGTGTGCACCAGCATATTACATGCCTGAGTTGAGCTGCACAAAAGTACTCCCTTAGTTTTGGGAGACCCATACCTCCCTTGTCTTTCGGTAGCTGAAGAGTTTCATATTTAACTCTAGGTTTTTTTCCGCCCCAAATGAATCTTGATATTATCTTATCCCAGGTCGCAAATTGTGTTTGAGGAACCTCTATTGGTAATGACTGGAACAAGTATAGGAGTTTTGCTTGCACATTCATTTTAATAGTTTCAATTCTTGAATTCAGATCTAAGGGCAGAGTAGTCCACCTATCTATATCTTTTTGTATTTCTTGGCTTATTTTATCGTAATTTGCTTTGTAAAGTGTGGATAACTCTTTAGTGATGTTGACCCCTAAATACTTAATTTCCTTCATATTCCATTTGATGGGAAAAGTTTCCTGAATTTCTTTCAAAGGGATGTAATTGAGTGTTAGAATTTGTGTTTTAGTTACATTGATTTTATATCCTGAAAGATAACCATACTTTCCAAAGAGATTCATCAGCGCTGGTAGTGATTCATTCGGCTGTTCAAGAAAAGTTATTATATCGTCTGCAAAAAGCCCTATTTTGTGTTCTTCTCCATTTACCATAACTCCCTTAACTTTATCGTCTTGTCGTACTGCCTGCGCCAGAGGCTCTATAAAGAGGGCAAACAGTGTAGGTGATAGGCAGCACCCCTGTCTAGTTGATCTTTGTATGTTGAATTTGTCAGTCAGGCTTCCGTTTATTTTAATTCTCGCTGTGGGGTGGTGATATAGTGTCTTTATAATCTGTATTGATTTATTATTGAATCCAAATCGTTCTAATGTTTTATATAAAAATTCCCAATTTACTAAGTCAAATGCTTTTTCTGCTCCCGATCGGTTTTTAACCCAGTGTTTAATCATACGCAGGAAAAGACTGGGGGGGTTTGCAGAAAATCTACTCTATGAACAATATTACAGGGCAAACAGTAGAGGGCATCATCTGATCAACTTCAAATCCAGCTTGTCTGATCACATCAGGACTTGTCTACGTTTTTTTTTTACAAAATCTTCTAAAGATGATAATCCTTTAAAAAAGCGTTGAACAAAACATGTTCCTTTTGTTATATGACTTCATCTGAAATGGGAGCAGTTTGTTACACACCATTTTTGTGTGTTCGCACCCCGCAAAAAAATGATCCTCTTATTGACCACTCGCTGTTGGTCAATTTCCTGCCAACAGCTCTGGTCCGGCTCCCGACAGTTTGCTCTGGTTTTGTTCTAACTTGCTCTCTGCTCCCCTTAAATAGGGCGCTTGAGTTGATTTGTACTCGAACTGACACCGACGGTTTTACGCCCCCAGAGCTATTTGTCTCCTGAAACTGAGTCGTTTCGAGGAGGCCAAACAGGACTGTGACTCCGCATTGCAGCTGGACCCGGGAAACAAGAAGGCCTTCTACAGACGAGCCCTGGCTTTCAAAGGTTTACAGGTGCGTGAAACGCCACCCCATTGCACGCGTTGGACTGGATTTATTGGAACATTTGCTCATTGATATTGCTTTTCTGTTCCCCACTTTTGATCACATCCCAGGATTACCTGTCGGCCAGCAGTGATTTACAGGAAGTTCTCCAGGTTGACCCCAACGTACGGGAGGCCGAGCAGGAACTGGAGGTGGTGACGGGCCTGCTGAGGCAGAGTCTGATGGCCACTGCTGCACACACACCCAGGGTAAGAAGACCCTTTACAGGTTTAGCGGGCTGGTTTCACTACTTGTCATTCTTAAGGCAAATCTAAATCTTGATCCCTTCCTCCAGGTGTGACGACTCCCTGTGGGGTACTTTGGAGAAAGGTGTGAGCACACACAGTGGCGTGTTTTCGTGAAATGTTCTGTTTCTGGGTGTTAGTTTGGGCGAGGTAAAAGCTGATCTCTGATTGGCTATGAGGTTAAAGGTTAAAGATTTTATCTGTGAGGATTGTCAGTCATCCAGGTCATGGTCAAACTCGAAAAGTTCAGTTAGGCAACTGGACGTGACGTTTTCTAAAGATTTTATTAAAAAGAATTTCAATCAAACTCTGTAAGCCGTTGAACTTTGACCCCCTTTCCAAAGGTCTGAAGCCTTAATTAGTGTGTTTTTCATACGTTAGGCAGAGGAAAAAACAAATGTAACTCATTCTATAGCTTAATCGGTGATCAAAAATATCAACAATTTCCCTAAAAGTCATTAGAGAAGCTAAAAAAACTGCAAACAAAAATGGCCAATGCCCACAAAGCTGGAGAAGGGCTAATACACGATAGCAAAGTGTTTTCAGGTAGCTCTCTCCTCGCATTGAAACTCAAACAAAGGCAGTTCTAGGGAGTGATGGAGGTCAGACAGCGGACCTAGAAAAACCAAGAAAACTTTCAAAGAAAATGCCTGTAGGATTTAGGCATGAAATGTCAGGGCAAATCAGCGTCCCTGTATGACAGCAAAGACCTTCAGGAAGATGGAGCTGACGGAGGGGTGTCGATGCACCGTTCAACGTGCAGACACATGAAATAATACAGCTTCCAGAGGTTGCAAATTTGTTACTAAACGAGCCAGAGTTCAGAATAGATTAGGCGGACAAATGCCTCGGGCTTATGTTTCACTCCGTGGGATATTTCACCTTTATTAGGAAGAGGATTTCAATTAGACGCAATCAAAAAGGGTAGCATAATATATTATAATGTGTGGAGAAAACTGCACACGGCTCACGGAATGAACTTAGGGATTACAAACTGAAGGTTTTACCTCACAAACCTCTGATCTAAACATTAGCTATAATCCTTATCCAGACATTTTAAACCCACTCCAAGTCCTCCTCTGTTTTTATTTTCTTTTGGAATGTTTTTAACACAGAAATACAAATACATTTCATTTAAAGGACAAGATAAATGTGTCATCTTAAACTTAATAGTTTTTTGGAAGCGATTCGTCTTTTTTTTTTTTTTAGCTCCCTGAGCTATACACACAGCAACAGAACGTTTTTCTGCCACTTCACTGCGCCGTGAGCCGGACTTTACGTCCGTCAGCCGTTGTAATCGTGGAGACGACGGACGAGGATCACTGAGACGAGCGCCGGGGACAACCAGCTTTTCAACTCAGCTCCATTTGCAGTGTGTGTGTGCAAACCCCCGAGTACACGACCTCTCAAAACAGGAAGCTTTATTTGAGAAGTCTAATGTCACGGCACTTCTGACCCGCTTGCACTATTAGTCTTTCCCATTCTGATGTAATGTACTGTAAATATAGTTCCACGTGACAGGCTGCGGTCAGTGCGCTGTCCCCAGTTTCAGTGAAACCAGGAAGGATGTGTGTAACGTGTGCCTTATTGAGATTTCTACCACAGATAGAATGAAACATGCCAAGGTTTAAGATTTAAGGTTGCATTTTGATTTGTTCTTTAAGACGTTTGGTTCCAAAGCTGTTCCTTGAAGTCAGAATAAAATGAAAAGCGGAAACAGGTAGTTTGTGGTGGGCATTTGGGCCCTGGTGGTCAGGCAGTGATTCACTGGTGACCCCTCTGACGGTCATCTTGGTGGTTTTGGAGATACGTTGAGCTGCTCCTGCTGAAGTTAGGGTCACAGAATGATCAGCCGTGCCCTGTAGGACCTACTGTAGCTAGGACTGTGTCTCATGATGCTGGGTGGGCAGTTTTAAGATGAAAGGAAACATCAACGTGTCCGTACCCTTCTCTCTTTAGGAACCAGATATAGATGCTTATCATTATAACTCATTTATTGTTAGCAATCAAGAAACAAATTCTGCATTGAGAAAATGGTGGATTTAGTGTGGCTGTTAGCGCCTTTTTTTTGTGAGTCTGCCCGGGACACCTCTCTTTGCGGCAGAGCGAATCAAGCGAGCCCGTTTTGATTACTTTTGCACCACGCTTTTCCGTCAAAAGACGCGCTCAGATTTACCAGGCAGAAAGCAACACCGGCCATGACTTCCCTGTTGGGGTGCGTGCTGTTTTCGTCCGTTTATCCTCCTGATAATCAGCACGGCTAATCAGATTTTTAAACCAACACCTCAACGGTTACGGTTTGAAAAGATATTAAATGTGGGTGCGTGTGTGATCTGACCCCATTGCAGATCATCATCCCGTGTTTTTGACTGAAAACTGTTGAGTCCATCAGTGGTACCCAGATGTTGGGCCGAGGAGTCTCCACCGTTAGGGGACACTTCTGAAACGGTTCACATCTACCCCTCAGCAGGACTGAAAATCTACGTCTTCTACATAGCACAATGTGCCACAGTCTTTAATGTTTGGTGTGTTTCTTTTTTTCCCTTTGATTTTTTTGTCAAACTAAAGTCTCCCCTAAATGAACAAAGCTAGTATGGAGCTCAATTCTTTCCAGTTCTGTATATATAGTTTAATGGAATGTAAAAGCATGTACTGTATGTAAATAGACTGGATGCAAATGTACATAAACTACAACATGAATGCTTTAATGTGGCTTTTTTTTTTTACTCCAATGGTTCTCATATAATCTCCTATCACATTTAGTTCAGCAGTCAGCAATTCAGTTATTTGCTGCATCTGACTTAGATCCAAACCGCTGTCTCATACAAAATTCAGACAAGTTTCTTGATTGAGAATTTTATTTGTTGAGGGATATGCATTCACATGCACATTGTGAAGCAGCTGATTAGGACATAAGCATTTTCAAATAGAATACGCCTCTTTTGATCAAATTAGAAAAAGAGACCTGCCACAACTAATAAAGTGAAGGACTTAAAACGGGCAGCTTTAACAAAAAGGTCCATAAAAAAAGTGGAAACATCTTTAGAAGGAGGCTTTGGAGGAGCACCAAAAACTCTTCCTTGTTGACAGCAGGGTTTAATGTGACGAGAGGCTCTTTTCTCTCTGTGACAGGACGCTGAGCTCAGCCAGTCGACGTCACAGCAGAGCAATCTGTGGTCAAGCTGCAGTCTGACCCTCCAGAGGCTGACCGCTTTGCGTGAAAGAGACTTTATCGCTGGCCGGTCTGCACAAAAAAAAAAAAAAACTTTGGATACTTCGGGGGAACATTTAGAGAAACGAGTTTTGGTTTTTTATCAAAATACTGTTCAGAGACTTTACGCGCTATAAAATCCGTCTGCTAGCGTGTCAGGTCCGCTAACAGTCAAGTGTCAACAGCAGTGGCCTGAGAACAGTCTTTGGTCAGCTAAAACATCTAACGTGACTGAGCACAGGGGAAAGCAGTTGGCAAAGTTTCTTTCATTTGTAGCGTTTTTCTGAGGCAAATTAAACGGTTTATGCTTCTTCTTTTTTTTTTTTTTTTAAACATTTATCATAAAAGAGACACACAGAATGAAGAGATTAAACATAAACTCAACACTATACACAGGAAATTTTCCAAAAAGGCACTGTAGGTTCAAAACATAAAATGATCTGCATCAATCATTTGTGAGGATTTAAGACAGCATGTAGATAAAATACATCAAAGCTCTTTAAAAAAAAAAATGGGACGGGGGGTTAACTGGTGAGAATCATCCACCTAACATCTCTGCTGTACATTCACTACTGAATATTGAATAGGATGAATATGCTCAGACACAAAAAAGCTCCTCATTGCACAACAAACATATTTCTACATAAAGCTGATGTGTTTCCTCACCACACACGCAGGCAAGCTTATTTTATATAGGATGTTGAAAGCTTTGTTTAAATTATTGCAAACACAGTTTAGTCTGAATAATCATTAAAAATGAAATAATAATAATGATAATCGTTATGGCATTTTCCATTTTTAGACTTTATTTATAGTTTATGGAAAAACCTAAAATTCCCTTATTTTTCCCTCCTTCAATGACCCTCTTATACATCAATAATAGATGAGTAACTTCTGCAGCTATTCTTTGACAGTGCACAGTATGCGGCTGGCTTAAATCTGTGAAAAATATAGGGAGGACGAAGGGCTACACTGACTAGTTCTCAGTATAGTGTCTGTGTATACGAAGAAGGATGGACCCTACACAGGGCTTCGACATTTAAACCAACTTTCCCAAAATGGAAAAAAAAAATAAGCCGACACACACAAAAACAGAGGTCGTATTTTAAAGAAAAAAATAAGATTTTTTTTTCCTACGTCTGATTTTGTACGTGTTAAACGTGCCCCTGTTTGAACTGGTCCCAGTAACACACTCAGAAATCGAGGGCTGACACATTAATGGACCACAGATAGAGCCTTCATAACCAGAGGGAAACCAGATGTTTGCAGACATATGAAGGGGGGGGGAAAAAGTTCCCATAGCAGCTTAGATTACTCGCTCCCAACCAGCCAAACTGGGTCTGCTTTTCGTAAGAACGAGGATAAAAACAGAAAAACTGGTCTCTCTGGGATTTGGAGATGTAGAGAGCTGTCCGGGAGGGCTTGTCTTAACTTGAGAGATCATCACAGATCTGCAGGACCTCACTTCAACGATGGCCAGCTTTACTACCCGTTTACATTCAATTTCAACTTGCGACGGTCCCCGTCTTTATCAGCCCGCTGACCACCAGACACCAAGATCCAAACGAACTTTGTCTGGACTCTGCTCCCGTTTACCACCGCCAACTTCCACCTAAACCATCTCTGACATCCAGGCCTCAGCAGTGTAAATGCATAAATGTACGCCTGACCATCGACTTGAGAAGGTGCATAGGAGGCCGGACTGCGGGCGATAAGGCTAACGGAGCTCACAGTGGGAACGCGGCAGGAAGGATGTCCTCAGATGTCCGTTTGGATGCAGTGCTTCCTGGCCTGGCAGACGGGCTGCGCGGCCGGATTCCTGCTGGTCTCTCTTAGGTTCCTCTCCTGCTTTTCGTCCGCGACGTCGTCCACGCTTTCCTCGCTTATGTACAGAAACGTTCCGCGGCCGCCCTCGCTCGGGGAGGCGGGCGGCGAGGAGGCGGAGGACAGCAGGCGGCTGGTCAGGGCGCCGCGGGGGGGGTTGAACTGCTCCAGGCGGTCGTGCTCCACCTCGGGCATGGGGGCCACGGCGGGGGGCGGGGGGGGGATGTCCGTCGGCGGGGAGCAGCGGGGCCTGGAGCTCTCGGGGTCGGAGCCGCTGAGCTCGGAGGAGAGGTGGCTGCAGTGCGAGTCGGCCACGGACGGGAGGCTGCCGCTCAGGGAGGGGGGGTCGAACTCGGAGGAGTTGGTGCTGCGCCGCTCCGCCATCTGGCCGTCCAGGTCCCCCTGCCTGGTCTCCCCCCGCCCGCCGCCGCCGCCGCTGCTCCCGGCTCGTTTCAGGAGCTTGCTCTTAGACTTTCTCCCCCCCGGGGCGGACGGGTCCTTTGACCAGGGGGACGGCGGGCGGCCGTGGCCGCCGTGCTGGCCGCAGCAGCAGCTGGAGGGACACGGGCAGAGGCACGGCCCCCCGCCGGCCCCCTTCGCGCCAGCTGTGCTGCTGCTGCTGCAGCTGGATTCATCCAGGCTGCTGCTGGCGCTGCCGTGTCTCACTTTGTCCGGCTTGGAATCCATGTCGGCCGGCGCCTCCAGGCTGTTATCTCTGCAAAAACAAGACCCCTCATTAAAATCAGCAACAAAAGAGGTCAGTATGAGATCCTTTTATTTGTATCCTACAAGCGTATTTGTCAAAATTCCTATAAAAGCAATAAAAATAATAAAATAAATAATCATAAAACAATAATAATGATTATGATACGATAATAACGCCTTAATCTAACCTTTCTTATGAGTTTGAACATTATTTCAGTACAGACTTACCAAAGGAGTAACTTGGAAAAGATACGTGACAATATAAAAAACAAATTTATTTTCTGACCTTTCCAGAGGCATGTAGGCATTGAGGATGGAGCCCGCCATGGCCTTTGTGCTGGCGTTGTCACTAATTGTCCCCAGACTGACGGTGGCCGACTCCCCGCTCAGACTGCAGCGCTCCTTCTGGACGTCAGCCTGCACCTCCATCCTGAGAAAAGCAGTCCCACCAAAACGGTCCGTTTATATCGGCTGTACTCATCCAACAACAGAAAAAACAGCTAACAAATGAAAAACTGTCTATATCAGTTTTGATGGCATTTGCAATAAATTTAGGTGGATTTTCCAAACTTTTCAGCATATTTCTCTTTAATGTCCATATAAAAATATACCAGCGTACCTGATGAATAAGGCATACAACAGGAAGTCTTTGTTATATACGTGGTACCACTTGTGCAGGTCCCAGTCTAAGAGTTTTTTTTTATCTCTCGGCCCATAAAACATGGATGTTTTCGGAGTCTGCGGCTCACCGGTTGTAGCAGCTGCCGGACAGGCTGCCCGTGATGCTGGTCCCGGCCAGCGCCGTGGTGCTGGCGTTGTCGCTCATGTTGTCGCGCTGAGCCGAGCTCACGCCGCAGCGCTCCATGTGGCTCCCGCTCACGCTGAGGCTCAGGCCCGTGAGGCCCCCCACGCTCGCTCCGTCTCCCAGGCTTGGATTGTTGAGCCGCGTTTCCGCCACGGAGGTGGTATCTGACGAGGAAAGAAAAAAAAGGGGAGACGGGAGCTTAGTAATGGTTTCTACAGACGAAGGTGAAGATTGCTGCAGATGGTTACTGTGCAAAGCCAAATAAGGGCTTTTAACGCCCAGAAGTTTCAGGCAGAAAACTTCAGTTAGAGAGAATGTCTCTCCCCTTCATGGAAAGGTCAAAGCCTCAGCCCTCATTAGGATTATTAATTATGACTCTGCATTGTCAGAAGCTTGGAGAAATACCATCTGTCTCCATGGAGAGTAAAGCAAGCTCAACCACCCGAAGTCAGGCATTTCGCACCATCGCACACGCGGTTAAATAATTCCCCAGCCAAGTCTGCCAAGAAGTTTTGCAGAACTTCACGAACTTCATACCAAACAAGCTGCCATGAAAAATAATGACTGCCATTCTTTAAATGTTACCGAAAGAGGAAGTGAGAGGCCGAATAACTCTACTATGACTAAACAAAACACGCCGAGGACCAGCATTTCTAAACGGTCCTCTTATCGGCTGAATCTTTTGGCTTACAGTTCTTCAGTCTGAAGCGTTTTATCGGGGGGTGGGGGGAGATCCAGGGCGTGTGCTTTCTGTTTGGTGCACGCCGTTTCTTAAAAGAGATTCTCACCCGTGGCCGCCGCTCCACTTCCTATGTTTTCGTCGTCGAATTCGATTCGAACCCCCTTGCCGTTGCCAGCCGACACCCCGCATCCTCCGCTCCGGCACAGGGAGATTGGCACCACGCCGTAGACATAAGCGAGCATGATCGGAACGCCGATACCTACACAGAGCAAGAGAGGTTAGAAGACCAATCCCACATTTCAAATCTGAAATCCGGCGTGGGGTGATGAAGGCGGGCCCGAGCTTACCGACGGTAACGGCAGCCACCACGGGGGACACGATCACAGACAGCGTCACCCCACCAGCGATCACCAAGTTCCTCTTGTGTTTCGAGATGTCCTTGCCTTCGTAGCGATTGTGAATCTGACGGGACACATTTTTAAGGCTCAGTTACTGGGTTAGATTCTGAGACCAGCGGCCACAGAAACAGATTTTTTTACAAGGTAAAACTGTGGTCTCCCATCGAGTTTTGTAACATCTTCCTCTACCTCCTGTTGATTTGCTGGTACTTCCAATCATTAAAAAAAGTCCTCAGTTAGCAGATGAAAGCGCTCACCTTTCTGCCCACGTAGACTGGGATGCCGATGATCATCGCTGGGATGGCGATGCCGGCGATAAGCGCGATACCCACGGGCGCACCCACCAGCGTGCCCAGCTGCCACAGGATCTTCTTCTTCCTGCTCCAGGGCTTCTTCCCCCAGAAGGTGCAGCCTGACGGACTGAGGGGAGAGGAGGGATGAAACTGTCAAAACTAGCCTTTCCAAGTATTTTCAAAAGGGCTTTCTTTTATTCTTAAAAAACAGATCTTTGTCGAAACTCCCACAAGAGCAAGAAATCTCTGGAACTCAGGTTGGATTGTGGACCTGTAAACAATGAAACCTAGACGCTGAGAAGTGAGAAGGGCACTAAGACCAAAAGGGGCTGGCTAGTCTTTATCAGTGACAGCTGCTCTTTCACTGAATCAATACACCCCGATATGCTGTCAGCCACAATTAGGCATCAATCCTCAGTTTCTTGTTTATAGACAGACACAATGGGAATGTTGGTGTTAGGTGGGGATGGTTAAAACATGTTTTAAAAAATGCTTTCATGTGGACAATAAGCTAAAGAGCAGTATTTAAAATACCGAACGTCGAGAGGAGAGAGGCGGCATCTCATGGTTAGTTTTGAGAGGATAAGAAATGGCGTGGACTCCATGGAAAGGGCACTGACTGTTGGGATACTGAACTGAAAAGTAAAAAAGGACTGCAGGCTAACATGAGCCTCCCCCCTCCCCTCTCCCCCCTACTAAGCTGTGTGTTTATACCTCAAATAGTGCAGGTCAGAAATCTCCTTCATGCAGAGCCAGCAGAACTCGCAGCCGCAGACAGCGCAGGTCATGTGGTTGCAGCTCCCGTCGTTCATCTTGATGATGTAGGCCGAGCAGCGGGGGCACGGCTTGATGTCATCGCCTGCGGCGGGGCGGGGAGAACAACGCGGTTATCCCTAAACGTGTCGAAGCGTGGCGCGGACTGGGCCGTGGGCGGCGAGGGTTTAAAAATGCTTGGGTTGGTTTCCTTTACCTGCGGCCCCGCTCTCCTGGCTGTAGCTGAGCGACGACGACCTGAAGCTCCTCAGCCGGAAGTTCTGGGCCCTCTGTTGGCGGGCCGTGTCGCAGGTCTGGTTGGGGTGCCAGAGCTGCTTGCAGTGGTAGCAGAACTCCGTCCCGCAGCCCTCGCGTTCGCAGGTGATCTTGGGGCAGCTCGCGCAGCCGAAGGCAATGACGGCGTAACTGCGGGGGGGGGGGGAAACGCAGACAAAATGGTGGTTTGAGGTAGGAACGTGTTGACCCAAAGTGGTGCGGCCCAACACCAGGGGTCAGCAGGGCTGAAACGGCGGGTAGAGGTGCAGAGCAGCGGGGCCAGAGGAAAGCAGTTACACTCAGGGACAAATTCTGCCGACCCTAATCGCTTTAAGAACAGGCCTAATTCATTCTGAATGACCGCACGCCCCCGTAATTTCCCTCATCAGTCGCTATGATGGTCTGCTTGGAAGCTGCACGTCAGAAAATAAACGCCACGTGAGATCCAGCATCCCTCTGATTTACAGGAAAAACTGCAATCACGCGCAACGTTTATGGTCAGAGCCACATACAAGCTGCTTATTCAGTTAGCAAAAATTCGCAGAAAGGTATTTAATCTAAGAAAGCAGACGATCTGGGATCAGCTGCCGGCAGTATGCTCGCCTTATTTGCAAACATCCTGACTGGGACTACATTTGCAGAGAAGAATGAAGGGGAAGTTCCCCCTAACTGATTAAAAATGAAGATTTCATGAGAGAAATTTTGAACCTTGACTGCTTTAATTCACAGGCTATGGGTAAAGCTGTGTTTATTTATCTGTTTTTGATAGAAACAGCAAGCTATTAGATCTGTGTTTTAGCCAAAAAGTCGAGTGCTCAGGCTGCCTTTCACGAGAGAATTAAGATCATTTGGGTTCTCACAGACCCAGAGCCAGACATTAAAGTTACAAGACACAAGCTGTGAAATCATGGTTATGCAGTTTTCCCAGAATTTCCCCACGGCTTTTATTGTGGTTCACACGTCAGGAGGACGTTTTTCAGGAGGAAGTTCAAATCTTACAAAAACAAAAGTGAGATTTGCTTAGAAAATGAAATGCTTTTCATACTGTGTGTTGTTTTCAGTTAGCATTTTACTCCGGCAACCTTCATGGATCATAAGTTCAGCAGCACGTCAGTGTTATATGTCAAAGTATATGTCCTTAAACAAAAGCCAGTCTAGACAGTTTCCAGACAGACTTTTCTAACACCTCGGTGAGGCAAGCTGATGGTATATTGTGTGAAACTGCAAGGGAGATTTCAAAATGGACCTTTTGGCTTCATCACAACCCCGTGTCAAAATAACAACTTAAGTCCTGTTAACCTTTTAAATCCCACTGGCTTTCCACAAAAATCTATGTATGTATTATTATGGAGTTAAAGACACTGTGACTTTTCAGCCAGGGTCCTATTTTTTTTCTTATGTTTAAACAAAACATTGAGACGGGAACAAATGAAAAATACATTAATAAACAGCTACACTGTGTTAGGTGCCATTTCTTTTTTGGGAAATTGAAATAGCATGTATACCTGTAGAAATGACACACTCAAAGAAATTCTATTTCTGTGAGGACATCCTCTCTGTTGAATCACCTTACAGCTGTCGAGAGTTTTCGGTCATGGATTTTTGATTCAATGCCTATAAATATTTTACACCCCAATATAAGGAAAAATAAGGTTTAGATTGAAAAGTTATTTTTAGCTCCTGACTTTACACCATCCAAGGTTTATATATATGAACACACAGAGCTACGTCTCTGGTCATTCACAAATATCTACAAAAAATGATATCTTATGGATGCTATCTATAAAGTCATACTTAATGACTTGCATGTCCTATAAAACATGTAATCTGTGCTTATAAATTTGTGAACTAAATGTCGAGTAAATCTAATTTGAACCAGTACTTGTTTCAACACAAAATGCTCAAACAGCTTCTAAAACTAATGTCTGCAGCTCCACACAAACCATCTTGTAACTAAATTCAAACGTCCCCCTGCATGCAGATAATTATTCCTCTTGACATGAGGCATTAAAAAGTCTTCTCAAAATCGACAAAAACTAACAAAGCGGAATTATGCACTAATACAGAGAAAGGGCAGCGGCCAGTGGAGGGCATGGCTACGAGCCAAAGCTGGGCTGTTTGGAGGCTGAGAGCAAGAGGAGACGTAACAATCTCATGAAAGAGCCATTATTCCAACAGACAAGGGTCGGCAATGTTGTTGCAACAAAGCCGTGAGAGAGCGAAGGGTAAAACCACTGCCGCGTTCATGCCGTAACGACAAACTTCCCGCACAAAGACTCTGTGGAGACGTAAAGGCTGCTCTTATCTGGACGGCAGCTAAATGTTAATTAGAAAACATACAGAGTGCTGCAACTGTTGTGTGCGCGGAGGGAGTTGTGGCCAAGAGGTGATCTCTGTTGTGTAACAGGTGAGGGCAGGTGACTGAACCAGCAGGGGAGAGAGCACAGTGTTAGACACAGTTCGGGCTCCTGAGAGCAAACTGTTGAATCCCAACTGGCTGCAAACATACAAGACCCTGACCTGACCTTAACTCTGCACCGTGTCAAAAAAAAGAAAAAGAAGCTGTTTAAAAACATTTTCTTTTACCAGAAAGGATAAAGGATGTCTCCAAAGTTGATCTGAATAAAAGCCCAACGTTTAAGTCATTAAATATCTAAATTCCATCTGCTTTCTATGAGCTGATATTGTTAATTAGTCGTGATTTTTCAGCTTCATGCTCTTTTTTTATATTTAATTGAACTGTTGTTTTTCAGCACAATAATGTGATGACGGGCCTTCTAGATGTTCTAGATGAAACTGATCAGATTAGTTTACCGGTTCCATGACGTTTATGTAATTCATTTTCATGTCATTACTTCGTCCCCAGCTGCCTTTTTACAGGCCACTCCCATTCAGGTGACGTCACAGTCTCATAACAATGGCATGACTACACACTTCCTGCTCGCATCTTTTTTTGGCTGAGTCATCGGGCTGACAAAAATGAAACAGGTCTATTACAGTGGTGAGTTATTTTTATCTCGGGCATCAGTAGGAGACGCTGGAATAAACTCCATGGGATTAAAGCCAAGAAGTCTCCTTGATGTACGTCCTCACGGTGTTATTTTGGGCTCGTGGTAATGTTTTTGCATCAGAGCTTAAAAGGCATCTTGAAAAACTGAAGTCGACACTTTGGACGTATAACAGACGTCCATGCTTCAAACTGGCTGAAATGGGATAGTTACTTTAGTTTGAATGAGTGAATTGGTGAAACAAAAGCAATACATATAGTTACATATGTATATATTTATATTTTTTGTGTGGAATGTTATATATATATATATATGCTGCGAAGTGTGTAACAAAAATAATTTCCCTCTGGGAATATTAAAGCATTTCTGATTAACATTGCCTTCATCCAAAATGCTGCTTAAAGAAAGTACTGATTCCTTATTCACCGAGGAGGTGATTGTAATCCCTCGTCTCGTGTTCTTACCCGCAGTCGGGTGCGGGACACCAGCGGCAGTCTGGCTCGGCCACCAGCCACCTCCTCAGCATGAACTCCTCGTACTTCTCCATGAGGGCCCGGTCTCCCAGGATCATCTGGATGTCGTGGGGGTTGAAGCGCTCGGCGCACTCGGGGCAGCTGATGTTGACGCGCGACTCGGAGATCTCGATGCGCAGGTACTGGCGCAGGCAGTCCGCGCAGGAGCGGTGGTGGCAGGTCATGATGTCGGGGAAGCGCTCGCGGGCGTGGCGCAGCAGGCACAGGGGGCACTCCAGCAGCTCCGGCGAGGCCCCCGCCGGAGCCGACGCGGTCAGGGCCACATCCGGAGGGGACTGGTTGGACACTCGGTCGCTGCTGGGCTCGGAGGGCGCGCTCTCGATGCTCACCGCCCCGTCCCCGCTGGCGCCGGGCTGCAGGGCCCTGGACTTGCGCTTGGGGTCGCGGTCCGGCCTGCGCCGGCGCCCGAAGAGCGAGTGGAGGGACAGGCGCCGCTTCTTGGGAGTCTTCCTGACGGAGGGGAGGCTGACCGAGGAGGCCACGGAGTGAAGGTCCCGCTCTGAGCCTGTGCTGCCATGATGCTGCTGACTGAGGTTGCTCATAACGGCGGGGGGGGGGGCGCCTACTGGTGCCGCGACGAGGGATCAAGACGGTCAAGAGAGGGAGCTGATTAGGACATGGCGGAGAGAAATTGGTAAATGAGATCTGGAAGGTGATGAGGTGGTCTGTCCCTGGTTTAGATCGCAGTGGCCGAGGGTTCGGTTGACCTGAGATGCAGACGCTTTGCCGTACGACGAGAACCTGAGGGGGACAAAAAAAAAAGGACTCGGATCAGGTGATGCCACAAAACAGAATGCATATTACTGTAAAAACAAATTCATCTGGAGGAGAAGGAACAATCAGCTGGAGGTGTGATGAAAACACATGACGATATGGAAAACAGGTCAAACAAAAAAAACAAAGCATTCCATTTTAATGGTTAAAGACACTTCTGGCCGGCCTCAGGCATTTCTTCAGGCGTGTCCGTGGTGCAGCTGAGTGTGTGCGTTTGCATGCTCTCCCCAGAGTTTGTGTTAGCCAAGCTTGGCCAAAAGAAGACAGAATCCTGTGTCGCTGCCACAGATTTCAGATATCTTTCAGGCTCACAGTGCTACAAAGCACACGCCTACCCCCGAAGCAATAGAAACTAATGGTTCTGGGTCAACGGGGACTTCCACTTTACCACGGCAATTCCTTCGGATTGTTCTAAGGGGACCTTTCTGCTTTGGACGAATTTCCGAACGAGAAAAAGTTACTTTTTCCCTTTTGAGACGCTCCACCCCAAACTTGATATGGGACGTTTCCCTGTGTTGTGCCTCGTCTTTGACAACGGTATCAACAACATTCCTGTGACGGCTCACAGCCAGCCGCAGACAAAAGCCTCTTTCACTCATTAGCTGTGCATTACGGGCGGCTCGGGCCCATGTCAGCGTGTTTTTAGACCTGTTAAACTGATGTCATGGAGTCAGCTGAGTGACGCCAGCACAGCTGGTTGGAGCGGCGACTCCCTCTGTGCGAGGAGCATCGGCGGCAGATTATCCGACTGTAAACATCTGCCCTGGATCTGACATCGGGTCGGCGCGTATTTACCGGGGTGACCTCACCGGACATCTCGCAGTGCGCACTGCAAAACCAGGAAACGGCAGAGGCAGCTGCGAGGCTCCGAATTGTGTTTGTCGTTAGCTACTCGTTTCGGGAAAAATTCCACTGGGAGCCAAAAAGGTGACTAATTAACAAGCCACTGTAAATCCCAACTGAGGCAGCGATCCTGCGAAACCTCAGTCTGACTGGCTGTGGTTTTTCTCTCCTCGTTGTGACATGTAAGCAGAAATGGGCTTTTACTGCTGGTTTTACTGCTGGGGGAGCGGTGAAAATGGGCTCTTAGCTGCATAGCCCCCTCGAGCCACGTTCAGCGTGGTGCCATGACAGCATAGAAATGCTGACTCTACTTCCTCTTGCTTATGAGAGACATTTGGGTCAAACGCTGTCGTGCGTTGGGCCGTCACTGTGCAACACTTGACCTTAACAGCGAGCACGGTTAATGTGTTCAGCATCCATCTCAAAGGAAAAAGGCACAGGTTCATCCAAGTCTGACCACATTCAGACATTTAAAGGTTCCTCTGCAGCACCTTTTCCAATATTGAGCAACAAAAACAGCCTTCAGAGATTAAAGGAAGGAAAATTGACATCCAAATGAGAAGAAATCATACGTCGCACATGCAAAGACAACAGCAGGATACATTCCACATGGCTGTTTGCTATGGGTGGACTGTTAGGCACGCCTGACCATTTCAAAGCACGCATCAAAGTGTCTTAATACAACTTTAACATCATTAAACAATTAGCGTTGGATGAGAAAATCGAAAGGAGCTACATTAGAATTCGCCCTCAAACACAATGAGTGTTTTATAAGGCAGCGCCTTACAAGGAAGGATTCGTTAATGACTTACAACACTGGTGTGGCATCAACCTTTGGCAATCACTCACTTCCTTGAACATCCAAGTTCGGGAATAAATTTAGCAATTTCTGCCTGACACAAAATTTCTCCACTGACGAGTAGGTGAAAAATGAAACTGGATTTAGAAAGCAACTTTCAGAAATGCGTAGAAATCAGACAATGGTTTACATGTATTTTCTCTCGTTGGTAAAAATCAATGTCGCACAATGGCTACAGCTAGAAAGAAAAAAAACCCTGATGTCCTCAGTACCTTTACATCATTGGCTATTCAGATATGCCAGAAGGTGGGGGCTCAGCTCTGAATTGGTGTGAGCTGAGTTAGAGCAGAAGAGTTGGTCAGAGGGGGCGTGCACACACGTAGCCAGTCTGGGCTCCGTTACAACCGCATGTGCCAGCTCCCAGGTGTATCGGGTGTGTCAGCCCCTTCGCCCCCCCCCCCAACGCAGCCTCTCTGCTTCTTTACAACAAAGGCAAATCAGGCACGGTTTAAAAGGCAAACCGGACATGTAAAAAAAAGGAAATCGTAGAGAAAAACTAGAAAAATGTGTAAGCTCGGTCGATTAAGAGAAAATAGCGCTGAATTCAATCAAATCCTACCTTAAAAATAGGCGTGTTGCACAGTGTCAATGAGGAGCAGAAGGGAAAATCGGGCCTCGCAATTTAAGGTTTGAATAGCTGACACGGAACCTTCCCACTAAAACTTTACAACAAACCCAGTGTGGTGACGTGTTGGGTGAACCCGACAATCCATGAGAGCAAAGAGCAAAACTTTAACAAGACACAGCAGCAATTTTAAACCAGCCCACAAGTCGATGTGAAATTACACTCCAGTGGCGTAATTAAAATGGAAAATCCTGCCTCTGCACTGTAGCAAGAATGAGTGGGACTTTCCATTTGGCTGAGGTCACCGCATGCGTTTGTGCGAGTACACACTCGTGCACGTATTCCAGTTCTGTGGCTCAGGGGCGATCACATGCAAACGCGGTTCACACACTGGGATGCTGTCCCAGTTCCTAAGACGAGCCTGGGGTAAGGAGCCCGCCGCGGCAGAATAAATGGTTTCGATCCCTGGGTCAACTCTTAAAAGGAAACAGCAAAGTTTACACCAGTCTTTGTTTCGCTCTTTTATGATAGGAACTGCTCGAACACATAAACCAGAGGTTTTCTGTCGGAGAGACGAGGCAAGCGAGGTCGATAAGTACAATATTTGAGGAGTTGTGCTGTAATTTGTGTGTCAAAATTGAAGGGGAAAATAGTAATAAATCAAGCGACTTGAAGCCTTAGTATAGTGCTTGAGACCACAGAGAACACGCTGGCTCCAGCATGGCAATAAACAAAATAAATCCAGGTTTCCCGGGCCTGTAATTTTTGCAAAGAGCCGATGTGGCACATAACCAAAAAGTGCAATGAACATTTTGCATTACAGCGCTGTGTGTCAAACCCTGTCACAAATACTTTAGTCTGAAGTGCAATTTCCGAACTATAAAGAGAACATGGCCCTACTGAACGGAAACATCAGCGAGTGAATAATAACATTAAGCCAGTTTCCCCGTCTTCTTAGGAAAACGGAGGTAAAGACGCCTGTGCCCTTTCATTCATCTGCCACGAATATTCGTGGACAAAATAAGCCGAGCTCAGCTCTACAGTTGAACGGCACCTCCACAAAGAAGCGATTGTGAGGACATCCTTAAATCTAATCAAAATGGGACCACATTTTAATATGAGTCAATAAAAAGTGTCATTGCTCTGTGAAGCAAAACAAATGTTATTATATGGGTTTACATATCACTGATTTGAACCATGACGGTTTAGGAAAGAGGCTTTTTTTTGTTTCCCCCAATTATCTGATAGAGCTGACATGTGACATCTGTGGCCAGTTAACAAATCCCAAGATCCAAAAGGATGCTCGGACACAGTGCGTTTTATTGTAGCAAAAAGCAGGAGAGGACACGATTTAACGCCACAGTTCGGGAGTGAATGATCTATTCCACGCTTGTTTTCAGGGTTTATCCCCGGCCCATTTCCTTCATGCCTCTGCGATCGAGACAAATTTCCCAATGTTGACGCTTAGCAGAAAAACTGTCACCGGAGCTTCCGTCATTTCCTGTGTCACGACCCGGACCCTGTTCGGCGGTCTACTTCTGCTATTCTTGACAAAACCCTGAGTTGAGCCACTCTGAGCCTGTCACGTGTCACCTGTTTCTCCATCTCGACGCACAGAGAGACACACTGAGAACTACCCCTGGATGCGAGGTCTTGGTCACTTCTGGGTTATTGGATGAGTGCGTGCAGGGAGGGTTTCCTGTTGCGTTTATCAATGCGAAAGTCCAAATTTAGCAATTCTACACGTGCTCCTTGTGCCAATTTGGCGCGAGTAGCCTGTTGCAAACATAAAACGATGTACTTCCAAGACTGGAAATGACGGGCTGAGAGCATTCTTCGGCTAAGTTTACCACATGCACTAATTTCCGGTGACATTCCAGCTTGAGGACAGAGTTCCTGATCATGACAAAGCATTCAGTTCTTGTGGCTTCGGACAAAGCCACTGCAAGGATTTGAAGGAAAACCTTTTTTGTTTTTACATAGCCCTGTTTACCTTGGACACAAGTGAGGTGGAGGACAACTTTCTATCAGCTGGACTCCCTGATTAACCAAACCCATAAATTAAGTTTTAATTCGTTTAGAATCTGACATGCCAACTCAAATAATAATGTTTGACACTCAGCAGAGAGTGTCGGCCGGCCAAAGTGGAATAAATGCCTTTGACGCTCCTCTCAGCGCTGTTTACTAAACATTATGACACACGCTCAACAGGGCAAGGTACTTTTCCACTACATCTGGGTCACTATGATGAGCCCACAGCTTCATTTAGACTGTCAGCACAATAAAAAAAGAAGGTGGCAAGCAATAAAAATAAATGATTGTGTCAATGTTAATTTGACACTCAACGCTAAATAGTGTCATGGACACAGGAAACAAATAAGCTAACAATATTCTGACCAGACAAATGGTCACCAGTGAGTGTATTGATATGACAATGTTTTTTCAATGAGACCACATGAGTGTGTTCAATCATTTCAAGGCTAGCTAGCCTGAGTATCCATTCGTGTTTGTATCTTTCTAAAAGAATCTTTACAGATGGTTAAAACATGCCCTGACCTAAGACAGTATCCACTGTCCCTCTGTAAAGCGAGAAAACCCACTGGCCTAAAAAGGACCTGTTTTACTTTGAGTCACAGACAGTCTGGTGGTGGTTTCTACAGTAATTAACTCGACTCATCGGCCCACTTTTCTCTTTAAACAAAGCTTTTTACGTCAGCGTTCTTGTAATGAATCAAGCAGACACAAGAACTGAGTCTGAAGCAGACTGGAGGTGCACAGCCCTGAAGTCGACCGATAGTCCACGTGGCCCAGCCTGTCTTCTTCAAACAGAGCAGGGACAAAATCCTCCCTGTAAAAGCTACCGGTATTCAAAAACAAGATATCCTGAGCAGAGCAGATGGACTCTGATCAACACTGAAGCACCCTCCATGTTAGCTGGAGTGAAGAGTTCACCCCTTGACACGTCCTCACCTATTCAAGCGACCCTTAACAGTGGTTTGGAGATTAACCGCATCTCGTTCAATCAGTTGTGTAGAAGAAAAGAAAAAAGAAGATGAAAAAAAGACAGCCTGTTTGACTGCTAATGCATGTGCAATACCAGAGGAAATCTCCACAAACCAGGCAGGTTAACAGCGGACTCTGTGGAGAACCTGATGACCCGAGTCTGCTGCAACACTCCTGAACCAGCGCTTTAAGGAGGACACATCATCTTTGACAGATACGGTGCCTTTTCATGCAAAAAGCATGTCAGACGAGGGTGATTAAAATACCTTTAGGCCAAACCCCCCACCACCACACATGCTGGAACTTCTGCCTGTGTGAAATGCTCCTCTGGCCTGAGCAGAATCCTGTCTTTCACGCTTTTGACCAGCGCATAACAGCCACTCTCCTCCTCACAGCAGAAGGCTTTTCACCCCAAACAGCAGGGGGGGGGAGAGTGACGCAGATCGGTGCCACGATGGGGGGGGAAAACACAGATCCGTTTCATTTGTGCTGCGATGAGAAAGGACAGAGACTCACAAACGACTATTCACGATTCATCAGCAGAGCTGAGGGTCACTGTGCAATCAGGCCCAAAGATGCACCAGTAGGACATCTGCAAATGGGTTTATCTGCAAGAAAATAGTTGGAGTTAGAGAAGAAATTAGTTGCGCTGATAAAAGAAGTCTGTCTGCTCTGACCTGACCTGGCAGGTCACATCATATGAAAAAAAGCAGACGTCTCTGGAACTGGAATCAGCATCGGTGCACTCCTAAACTGAACCGACCGTTCTTCGTGCTCCAGAATTTGTCAACTCATCACCCCTAAAGTGCGAGACAAGATACGAAGCACACATCGCACGTTAGCAAATCAGGCTTCATTTCACAGCTCGAGGACCTTGTGTGCGTCTGTCCGGCTTGCCGGCCGCCAAAGCCAAAGGAGAAATGATCATCACCTTACATAAATCAGTCCTAAAATAAAATGCTCAAACTGAATGCAAACACCACCAAAACGAGGATTAAACAAACAAGGCAGTTTTCTGGCATATCCTGTCAATTCATCCCGCATAAATGAGTACTTATCAGCTCCTCTGACCACTATCTTTTCACCGTGAAGTGTCCAAATATCCTCCTCCAAGTAAGAAGCTCTCCTTTTCCTGACTTTGTAACTCAGTTAATGGGGGTTGCGTCAGTAGGTGCTCAGCTAAATTTAGCCATTAAATAATATAGGTTAAAGGGGTTTATAACGTGGTGCCGTTGGAAGAAGAGGTGATCACAAACGGTTGAATGGAACATGACACATTTCGGTTTCGGTTGGCTGTGAGATGGCAATGACTGTCACGATGATGCCAAAAAGATCCCAGTCAGCTCAAATAATTCTGATCAGCCAATGACGTGATAGCCAGAGACCGAGAAAGGCTTAGATTATCTCAAAGTACATGATCAGAAAGGGCTACATTTCCGAAATGTTATCTAACCATTGAAACGTTGATATGGTGTGACCACAGAAGGGCATTTCCATTCTGTGCTAAACGCATTCAATAACGGAACCAGACACGCTGAACTTTACACGTAGATCCGCCTTTAGTACAAATAATGTCATGGACAACGAGCATCCATTCTTAGATAAACAAACACAAACATAAATGTGTCATAGGGACATTGAAGATTAAAATAAACGTCTGGCCAAATCTCTCTATAAAGAGTGGGACCAATGACAGTATCGACATGAAAACATAAACCTTAGTTTCACTAAACCTTAGTTTCAAGAGTATTATCAAGCAAGACAAAAAATAAAAAGCCGTGTATCTGTTTTAAAAGGCTTTACACGTCAGAAAAACGAAGTAATGTTTACACCCTCCAGCTGGTTAGCCTGCGTTAGCCTGTGAGCTACGGGATCAGATTTGAAGCAGGAAGCTAGTCACTAACTTTAATCGCCAAGAGAGTAGTTTCTGCTCCCGACCAGCACGAAAGAGGAGTCTGCCTCTCAGTCAACGACCAATTCCACTGCCTGGTTCACATAAGTCACTGAAAACGGGGGTAAAACTACATTAGGTATCAGGGGAGGGCATCTTCCAACCCGAAACTGCATTTTACGAGGAAAAATTGGAGGCTAACAAAGCTAGCCCCCGAACCGCCTCAAAGAGGAGGAAGTTCTGAAGTATAATCAACTAAAAATGATTCCGTTCTGACTGGAAAGACGGTTTTTACAAGAAAAACTCACCGTGGGATTTCTCTTGAGTCTGTGTTACTTCACCACAGAGGTGTACACTGTAGTCTCCATTTCACAGGAAGCCGTTGGAGAAAATGTGTAACCTAAAACTTCAGGCAGGGTACATTCCCCGAGTCCGACTGTTGTCATCAAGCCAAATAGGAAATTAAGAATAACACTTTCACTTCCGGTCAGAAACCCCCTCTTTTCAAAATAGTTTTTGAAAGACGGTCGGGAGACATTTAAAAAATATTGCTGCACTTAAATTAAACTGAGAATTCCAAAACGGTTACAGGCACTGGTAAACTAAAAAAAAAAAACCCTGTTAACACTGAATCAATTAATCTTTTTTTTCGAGTGCCACAGTCGATTGCCACATTTCCCATAATCATCCTCTGTTTTCTTTTACATAGATAGATAGATAGATAGATAGATAGATAGATAGATAGATAGATA